CTGTCCGCACGCTCAAAGCAAAACTCTCAGAAAAGAAATCGGCCGCGACACAGGCCTCATTTTCTGAATGCAAAGCCACCTCCGAAAATAAAAATGAAAAAAGCAAATGAGCCATTTTCACTTTTTCTGATGTCTGGAGGCCGCGCCCACGTGCTGGAGGACCGGCGCCGGCTGCCGCTCCAGGCTCCTGGGCGGCTGAGGACGCAGGCCGGGGGGCCCGGGTTCCGGGAGGGGCTCGGGCTGCGTCGGCCACCAGGCAGCTGGCAGGCCCAGGACAGCACCAGCACTGACCCTTCCCAACCCCGTCTTCCGCTCCCTCCACACTGCACCCCACACCAGCCTCGTTTAGTCGCTGCGGACAAGCCAACCTTCCCCGCTCAGGCCCAGAGTTCCAGAACCTTCTTGGACGCCTCTCTTTCATGCATTCTCGAACACAACTGAAATCCCGCATTTCTCACCTTGGAGCAGAGCCGCAGACCCCACGGCCTGCCTTGGGGGTGGGTCACTGTGGGGTCCCCCAGCCAGGCCGCCTGGGGAGGCTCTCAAGACTCAAGTTCCTCCAGCCCCCTCGCTCAGAGCCCTTCGCCACTCGGAACAGAACCCCGAGAGCGGGGCCCTGGCCTTCCGCCAGCCCGGGCAGCTCGGCGCCCCTGCCCCGCACAAAGCAAGTGGTACCCATTGGAAGGACGGACTCCGGACAGTTCCCAGCACAGCTTCCTCCTCCCCCCACAGGAGGACATCCCTGCACACGGCACAGCACCGTCCCATCCACGCGACGGACAGGGAAACTGAGTCATGAGGACGCAGGGCCTCCCTGCACACCCAGGAAACGTGGTGACACACACCCACGCTGGCCCGTCTGTGCTGGGCTCTGCCCTGACTCAGGCCCTGGCCCCTGGGCCCAAGGCTTGGGGTCCCCCCAGGAGCTCATCCTCGGAGAGGAAACCGAGACCCGCCCCTGCAGGCTGGTGTCTGTTACAGCCTCCAGCGCAAACAACAGGTGCGCAGGCCGCTCGGGGCGGCCACGCCAGCCTACGCCTCGCCCCAGCGAGCTCCCAAACAGGAAGCCACCACGGGGCGTGCAGGGCCACCCCGACATCAAGCAAAAACAAGTCACGTGGTGCCATACAGGGACCAGGGCACCACTTCCTCCCAGCCCCTCCCCCAGCCTCTGACCTCACTTCCTGGCGTACCCCTGGGGTGCTGGTCCCCCATCACACCGATCCCCTCACCTGGGTTGATCTTTCTACTCTGCGTCATGATTGCATGATAGAAATCCAAGAAGGTGCCAATCCAGTGCAGACATAAGGGGGACCCTCCCCTAGAGCCCCCCAGGGGTGACATCTCACGTGACCCAGCAGGTACAAGACTGGTCACCTGACCCGGGCACCCGTCTATTAACGAAGCACCAGGCCTGGGCCGCCACCACCACGTGCTAAGTCGCTGGCCTGTCTCGCTGTGAGTCTGTGTGAGCTGCAGGACACACCGCTAAGAGGCCCGTGCACTGCCGGGGGCCAAGCAGGACTTCCTGCCCCACTGCCCGGCTCACTGGGTGCAGGACCACCTCGGCCAAGAGCGTACAGGCCGATTTCCCACGCTGGCTTCCTCTCAAGCAGGTGCCCCGAGGTGGGTGCCCTTGTCTTACTCAAAGGATCCCAGGTGCAGGGCCTGGCATACAGGTGCTCAACACACGCCCTGTGAATGGAGGGTCCTGGGAGCAGCTCCTTCCTCCCTGCCCAGCCCTGCACACGCCACGCTTGCAGAGACCCATGTGACGCTGCCACCTCCGGCCAGGCCCTCTGCCTGGGTGACACCCCCGCCCCATGCACATACCGTGACCCAAAGACAGGGCAGCAGGGACCTTCAACGGGCGGTGTGGGGTCCCGTGTGGGGTCCCTGAAACTACAGGCCAAGTGGGGCGTGCACATGCTCAGAAGAGAGTCCCACAGCCCCTGACCTGCCCCGAGGGAGGGGCTGCCTCGTAGACACAGGGAGGGTGTCAGCAGCATGAAGGCGCCCAGGGCCTGCCGCCACAGGGCACAAGGGCGGGTCAAATCTCCAGTATCCTGGGGCCCAGCTCAGCCCTGAGAGGGGGCCGCATCAGCGTCTCTAGCACAGAGGGGCCGACGGGCCAAGAGGAGGGGCAGGGCCTGACCCCTGGGGTCCTTGCTCCAGTACATGTGGACCTGGCCCCAGCAGCCCCTAGACCCCCGTCCTGCTGTCTGGGACCCTGGGGCCTGGCTGCAGGCCTGGCACACAGCAGGGTGCGCAGTGAATGGGCATGGGGCCCACTGCTAAGGTCCCTGTGCCCAAAGCAGCAGCTGGACCTTCAAAAATAACCCGAGGAGAGGCTCCAAGTACAGCCAGGCCCAGGCGTGGACAGGCACCCTGGCCACCAGGAGGCCGCTTCTGCCTGGATCCAAGCCCCTCCAAACTACTCAGCGCGGCTGCCTGCCCCAAGCTGCTGTGCCCCCGGGGCCAAAGAGACCCTCCACTGAGGGCCGATGACCGCGCTGGCCTCCTGCGACAGGCCACCTGTCACCAGTCACACAGGCGTCCCAGGACTCAAGCCTCGGCCCCACCCCCAGTTACAGCACAGGGGCCCGTGGGCCACGCTCACTGCACTCGACGGACACGGGGCGGGGGAAGCCGCGCAGAGAGCACAAAGCTTATAGCGTCTGGGTGAGTTTCTGTGCTGACGCCTCGGACCCACCGGGGAGAGGGCCCAAAAGCGGGCCAAGGCAGCCAAGGGGCCAGAGGCCCGGCGAGATCTGCCAGGCAGGAGAGGAGTTAACTGGCTCGGAGACCCTGGCCGCTGCCAGCCTGAAGCTGACAAAACCGACCGCTGAGTCAGGCTGGCCGAGCCCTGGCCCAATTGTTTGCAAAGACAAAAGGGATGGTGACGACCCGGCTGGTGCTGGGGCACCAGAGACAGCTGACCCCGGCAGCCAGGCCGGCCGGCCCTCTAGAACGGCACCCGGGGCCCTGCAAGGCTGGGTGGGAGGGGAGGCCCAGACAGGCTTCGGGCGCCAGCGCTGGCGTGCGGGGCAGGCCCCCGGCTCCCCGTCCCTGCTTGGGTCCCCAGCCCTTGGCAACCAGCAAATACAAGTCACAGGCCTCCTCGTCATCGCGGCGGGTATCGGGTGGCCGGCCCGCAGATTCGGTTACAAAACACTCGCCTGAAGTCGGAGCACGCGGTGGCAAAATCCATCACCCGCACGGGGGTGGCTTTCAGGGGACCACGAGGGAAAGGTGGGGGCCCTTCCCACCCGCCCAGAGAGCAAGCGGTTCCGGAGCCAGCCCGCCCAGGTCCCCACGCCAGCCCCGTGGTCACCCGACAGGCTGCTGACCCTCTGAGCCTTCCCTGGCCCGTGTCCCCTCTGCGGCGGGGACGGAATCTGTGCAGCCTCACTGGGCCGCTGCGCGCGCGGCTGCACACACTGGCCCAGGGTCAGCGGTTCTTGTTCCTGGTGTCTGCGCGAGGGCACGAGACGCTCAGGAGGATGTGACTGGTCAAAATGGAGCCAGTGGGAAGGGGGCAGAGTGAGGACTTGAACCCAGACCCGGCTCCAGAGCTCAGGCACCGGCAGCCACCCTGGGAGGCAGCTGCCATGGACCCAGCGGGGCGGGATGAGGCTCCTGGTCCTGTGCAGCTGCCCCAGGCCTTGCATGGACTCTGGGGACGGAGCCAGGCTGGCAAAGAGGAGGAACAGGCTTCTCAGGTTTGGCTTGAACACCAAAAAGGAAAAAACTGGGGAGGCCACAGGAAGATTAGGCTGTCCCCAAACACTTCCCGAGACACTGATGCAGCAGAGCTCAGGGCAAGAAGGCCACCCCGGGGCTCCCTCTCAGGACAGGTCGAGCTCGCACCCAGCTGCCCATCTGGGCGGAAGGCGCTATGTGCCCTCAGATGGCACATGGCACGGCTGCAGGAGGGCGACGGGGCGCCCTGGTCACCGGCCAGCCTGCCCTACTGGGCCCAACCTGCGTCGGCCCTTGGTTCTACTGCCCGAGACCCTAGTTCTATCTATGGCACATATATGTGCGCACGCGTGCACACGCACACACGCCCCTTGAAACACAAAATCCACAGCCCAGGATAGAACTCTGAGAGTTTAAGGAGGACCAGTGTCCTAAAAGGACATTCTATGCATAGTTTTATGACGGTCCCCCCGGCCCCCAGAAGAAATCCCCACCCGGTCAGCATGTCCCCAAGCTGAGGCGCAGCTGACATCAATCACAGGCCGGGAAGTCAGTCTGCATGGCAGGCTCCTTTGTGCCCCTGGAGTGTGTGTGTGTGTGAGTGTGTGTGTGTGTCCTGCCCCAAGCAGCTGCCAGGCCTTATTAGATCTTTAAAAAAAAAAAGGCAAGGGGGAGGGGGCCTTTTTCGGAGGAGGAGGGTGGGCCGCTGCTCAGCCCGTCAGACAAAAGGCCCAAGGCCGGGCTCGAGCCAGGACATCTGGCCCCAATCCCACCTCACCTGCTGCAGCTTTTATAAACGTGGGACCCCAGGTGGCAGGGACCTGCTGCCGCCCACTGTTGGGTGCTGGGGCAGCAGAGGGGTGCCCCAAGGATGGCCCAGAACACTAATTCCCAAGAAAGCCAGCCAGGCTGTCTCTGCGCCAGCCCCAATTCACAGGAGAGAAACTGAGGCACAGACAACTGCCCGATGGGGGTGGGGAGCCAGGATGTGAACCCAGGCAGGCCCTGGTGCTCACCCCCCATCTCTCTGGGGCACAGCCTGAGCCAGGCCAGAAACTCAACCCATCTCTCCATTCTCCTGGCCTGCCCCCAAATGCAAACCCATTTCAGAGGGGCTGGAGAGAGTGACCGTTCACACACGCAGTAAAGGGGTTGCAAGGGGTAGGGGCGCGCAGGCTTGGGGTCTCAGGTGGAAGACTCCCTTGGACCAAGGGGCACCCACACTGGGAGATGCGGGAAGCCCACGGCCCTGCCTCATCTGGTCTGCAAGGACCCCCCGGCTGGCCACACCCACTCACCCATAAGTCCGCTGGATTAAGGTGGGGTGCAGCTGCTGCACACCGACAGCAAAGCCTGAAACGAGAAAAGGTTTCCAAGTTCAGCCTCATCCAGGAAAGTAGAACCCCCACAGCCTAAGCAAAAGGGATAATCAGCTCCCCCCCATCACATGAACCCCACAGCTCTCGGCTGAAGCAGGCCGAGACCCAAGGGACCCGGTGGGAGCTGGCCTGGGGCCCAGGGCCAACTTCCTCCCTCCCTGCTCCAGGGGGGCAGAGGGCCTGCTGAGGCTCCCTCTTCCCCGGTCCCATCAGCCCACGCCAGAGGAGCCAGGGGGTCCCCTCCCAGCAGGGGACAACTGCTCCCCAAGCCGCCTGCGCTCCAGGGGGGGGCCCCCCCACCCACAGACACCAAGGCTGCACCAGCTGCAGGGGAAGGGCAGCCGTGCTCACCCGTCTGCAGGCTCCGCGGCTTGGCGCCCAGATAAGCCAGGTTCACGTTGGCCTTGCGGCCGTCGATGTTGGGGTTCGGGTCTTTGCAAGCCCTCTCAGCCGCCGCCCGGTCCACCATAGTCACCTGGAGGCGCACAGAGCGTCAGGAGCGTCCCAAGGCGGGGTACCCCTGGCAGGTGCCCTCCAGCCCGGCCTGGGCCTCCGCAGACCTGCCCCCGGACCCGGCCCCTCCCCGCAGGCCGGGAACCCTCCCTGCTGGCAGACAGGGAGGCGTCTGCTCCCCAAGGGGGGGGCGCACCCCAAAGGGAAGCGAGGACCCCTCAGGGGAGGGTTTAGAGCCACTGGGGGTGGGAAGCGCGCCTCCAGCGTTCTCTCCAGCGCAGGCTCACCCGGGCGGCCCGCGGGAAGTACGGGGGGGGGGGGCGAGAAGGCCCCCACCTGGCCCTCGGAGGAGGCCTGTGCCCCCCACTCGCGTGGGCCAGGAGCCCCACCTCCGCAAGCCGGCGGGGGGGCGGGGGGCGGCCTGCGGGGCGGGCGGGGGGAGGGGCGGGCGGGGGAGGGACGCCGGGCCGGGGGGGCGGGGGGCACGTCCGGGCGCGGGGGGGGCCGGCGCGGGCAGCAGGTGCCGGGCCGGGCGCGGCGGGCACTTACGAAGCCGTAGCCGCGGGACTTGCCGGTCTGGCGGTCGGTGATGACCACGGCCTCCTCGATGTCCCCGAAGCCCTCGAAGTACTTCCTGAGCGAGGCGTCGGTGGTGTGGTAGGGCAGGCCGCCCACGAAGATCTTGGTGAACGTGGTGTCCCGGTGCGCGCCGGGCATGGCGCCCGGGGCCGGCGGCCGCGGGAAGCCCGCGCTCGGGGCGCCCGGCGCGGGCTGCAGCAGCATGGGGCGCCCGCCGCTACGGGCCCCGCGGGGCCGCGCTCATGGGGGGGCGCGCGCGGGCAGCAGGGGCGGCTCCGAGCCCGGCCCGTCCTCTCGGCCGCTCCGCGGGCGCCGCTGCGCTGCGCTGCGCTCCCGGCCCGGCGCCGCGGACACTCCGCGCGCCGCGCCCGGCCCCGGGCTTTGTAGCCGCCCCGCCCGCCCGCGCGCCGCCCCGCCCCGCCCGCGCGCCCCGCCCCGCCCCGCCCCGCCCCCGCGCGGGGGCCGCCGGGAAACGTAGTCCGGGAAGGCCGGGGCGGGGCGGGGCGGGGCGGCCGACTCGCCCACTGAGGCCCTACTACGTGCCCGGCCCCGGGAGCGCGCGGCGGGAAGACGCGGCTGTAAAGGGCTCAGATCGTAGATCGCGTTTCCGGAATGGGGCGCGGTGTCGCGGGGTGGGGGGAGGCGGCACTGTGGGGGAGTCTGTCTCTGGGGCTGCCCGGGCCAGGCGGCTGTGGACGCCCAACAGTGGCAGGAACGTTCCCCGGGGCCTCCCGCGCTGCGGGGTGGGCGGGCCTGGGCGGGCCCGGGGTGCCCCAACAAGCCACATCGCCGGCCCCGACGGGGCGCGCATCCGGTCAGCGGCGCGCAGGGTGCCCAGCGTGTCCCGCGCCGGCCTGGGCGGTGGCTCCAGGCTCACCACCTGCTGTCGGGGGTTCCCCAAAGCCGTGGGCGCCCCTCTGGGGAAAAGCACGCCCAGGGCGTCGAGTCCCCCGTCCCCAGCCGCAGAAACAGGCCCCGCCGGGCCTCCCCGGGGTCCGGCGCGGCCACGAGGAATCCACAGGACCCCGGGCCCCAGCCGCGGGGGCCGGCTCAGGCCTCTGCGCGCCCCCCAGTCCCCGGGGCCAGCCCCTCCGCCGGGACGCGGCCGGGAGAGAGCGGGGGCTCCCCCCCCACACCCAGGTCTCCTCGGGGGTCAGGCTGCGGTGTGGGGCGCCTGCCTGGGGTGGCGCCGGGCGGGCCGAGGGGCCCGGGGCGGGGCGGGGGGCCTGAGTCCTTGGCTGAAGCAGCAGCTCCCGCCAGACCCTCGGCCCGACGGCCGCACCCGCGCGCGCGGATCAGCGCCCCCTTCCCGAGGCCCGCCCAGGCCCCGCGGCCGAGGCAGCCCCGGGCCCGCAGCAGCCCGCGGGACCCGCCCTCCGGCCGCCCCGCGCCTCCAGCTCCGGCCGCTCCCCGGCGGCGCGCGGGTCTGTCCGGGTCCTGCCCCGGCGCGGCCGCGGGCGAGGACAGCGCGCCCCCGGGAAACTGAGCAGGGCGCCTGGCCTTGCTCCCCGGGGCCAGGGGGGCGCCGCCGCGGAGCTCGGGCCAGCCGGGCCCTGCGCGCCCCAGCCCTGACCGACGAGGCGGGGCCGCCGGGGCCGGGGCGGCGCCCCCAGACTCCCCGGGAGCGCGCGTGGCCTACAAGTCCCAGCGCCGCCCGGGCGCCCCGCCCCGCCGCGCCGGCCCCTCGGCCCGGGAGCCCGCGGGGGCGTCCGCGCAGCACGTGGGGTGCGGGGGTCCGAGCTCGGCGGCGCCGGGGGGGTGCCGGGGGCGCGGGGGGGGGGGCCGGGCGCGAGAGGACGCGGGGCGGGGCAGGGCGCGCGGCGGGCCCTAGCCGGCTGGGGAGGGCTGGGGAGGGCTGGGGAGGGCTGGGGAGGGCCGGGGCGGGGATCCCCGCGTCTTCAAACGCGAGGCCCGGCTGGGGCCCCTGGGCTTTCCTCTCCAGCCGCCTCCCCGCCCGCCGGGTGCCCTCGGAGCACGTGCCGACGCCTGCCTGAGGCTCAGCCGTTCAGGCGGCGCAGGGGCCAGGCCAGGGTGGGGGTTTAGGGTGCACCCCCACATGCCGCAAGTCAAAAACTAACATTCCCCGCGCCCCCATTCCCCCCACCCCAACTTACAATTTAGAAGGAGAGAGACAGCAGATGAATATTAATTTTTATTTAGGTCAATTGTTCCAGGCAGGTGCCGAGAAGGGCGCAAGCAAGAGGGGCGGGTGAGGGCCGAGGGGGCAGGAAGGCTCTGGGAATCGGGAGCCTCGGGAACAGCCCAGGGAACAGAACGCCAAGGCGCAGAGGCAGGGGAGGGCTCCTCGAGGGCCGCTGCTCTGCTCCCTGCAGTCACCACGGTCAGCCCAGCCTACAGAGGGAGGGGACTTGTGAGTGGGGGGCAGCCGCCAGAACCCGGCGGCCCCTGAACCAAGTGCAGCAGGTGGTGGGAGTCAGCCCACTCACAGCGCCAGCTGGGGGCTCCCCGCCCCAGCCCCCTCTCAGGTGGTGCCAGCCACCCCACCTGCAGCCAGTGGCCTTAGTTCCTGGAGGCAGCGGAAAGTGGTTCTGGGCCTTGCTGGTGACCGTGCAGCGAGCTCGTGACTGCACCTGCGCCGGGCCCAGAGACAGGCTGCTTGTGCCCGAGTGCGCTGAGGCCAGGGCCCCGGGGCCCCTGCACCCTAGCACTGGCTGCGACTCACTGCATGTCCGTCCCGGGGCTCGCCTTGGATCTCCAGGCCGGCTGCTTCCACGTGAGCTTCCTGAGGCTTCCATCTCTGACTGGGGGGCCCTTGGTCCGCCGCGTGTGTGACCGGCTCCAGGCTCTCCGTGGCAGGCTGGACATAGTCTCCCAAGGGCAGCTACTGCTTGGACTCTGGTCTGGGGAGCACAGACGACATCGCCACAGTCTGGCCTGTAAACGCGCCCTCTCACTTAGCTCTCTTTGTCTCACGCACTGTAAATAAACCCTGTGATTGTTGTTTTACCCCTTGTGCACGCTTTTGAGTCATGACCCACTGTTGTAATTGCTCAGGTGGGGACCCAGCAGCTGGGCCGTCCCCTGGCCCCCACAGCTCGCTTGGTTTCAGGCTGAGGCTCAGACCGGTTCCCCCAAGGCCGCTGAGGGCAGTTGATGTCCAGCCAATCCCTGATTCCATCTTGTCTTCCCCATTTTATTCTTTGCACGTGGCCTTGTCTCCCTGTTTTGAAGATAGGGCAGGTGGGACTCAGAGCGCCTAAGTGAGGGGACCCTACATGGAAGTCTGTTGGGTTTTCCCGAGCACATCAGCTTTTTGCTAAAAGAGACAGTGGCAGCTGATACAAGTGCCTCATGATTCTTTCTGCCCTGAACATAAATGGGGTGTCTGGAGCTGTGGCAGCCATTTTGTGGCCATGAGGCAAAGGCCAAGGAACTCTGACACCAGTCGTGATATCACTAAACCCGTGGGATAGTTGATAATGTCTGCAGGTATTTTTGGTTGTCACAACTTAAGGGACTGAATGCCACCTAGCAGCCATGCTGTGGAGGCCGGGGACGCTACTAAATATCCCACGGTGCACAGGACAACCTCCTGCAATGAGTCAAAGGCTTCACTTTTGACAGATGCCTTGGTGTTTAAGGTGAGTGTTAAACGCTCACCAAGTGTAAATTCAAGACTGCCAAGCTATTGCAGATGTAAGATGTGCAAAAGATGTTTTCAATTGTTTGCTGTAAACGGCACATGTGGGAGGGTGGGTGTGGGGCATACCTGACAGACGTGCAGCCTTCAGCAGCTGCGGGGGGCGCTGGGGCGGGGTGGGGCGTGCGTCCCTGGGAGCCGCTAGTGTGACCGACATTTCCTAGCAGCCAAATTTACATAAGTATGAGCAGGTGAAATTCATTTTAATACCCAAATATTATCATTTCTTGGTGTGATCAACATAACAATTAGAATTTACATTCTTTTTGTGTGAAGGCTTTGAAATCCGCACATTTTGCACTTGTATCTCCGTTCTGACCAGTCCCACGTAGGCCTGGAGAGTTCCAAGCGCGAAAACTGGTCTGAAACGTCCCTGTTTGCCCCAGCGCCTGTCCGGACGGAGTCTGTGCACGTTTGCAAGTCACCACTTCACAGACGAGGGCACGGGTGACACCGGGGCGCGGGGAGGTGAGGGAGTGCCAGGACCCCTCTCCAGGCTGCACGGCTTCAGCGACCTGCCTGCCGGTACCCACCTGGATGTTAAATCAGGAGTCAACCTCAGAAAAACTGTCACCTTCAGCTTTTCCTAAGGAGCCATCGATCTTTCTAAAGATAAAAGTGCGTGATTTTTAAGAATATTCTTCTAGCAGGATAATAGATGCTCCAGTCCATTTTTTGTGTTACAAGCTTAGTAACAACAGCCAAGCGAGAGCCAACACCTTTCTTTTTTTTTTTTTTCCACATAGAAGAACTGGGGTGCAGGCCAGAGGTGCGGGGGTGAGAAGATTCACCAGAGACAGAGTGGGGAGCAGGACAGGCAGACTGACTGAAGTACACTGCTGAGGGGAGCAATGGGTGAGACAGGAGGGTCTGCCGCGCTGCGTGGGTCGGCTCCAAGGCCAGGGATCGGGCTCAGGCTGTAGTGGTGATAACGCTGAGGCTCAACCCTTAGGCCCCCAGGGAGGCCCCCACTCTTCATTTAAGAAGTTGAAGTGGGTGGAATTGAACACAGAGCTTGCTGCCGGGTCCTGGCCCCGGGGTCGCTGGCGCCATCTGCTGGCTGTGTGGAGACACACCTCCTCTGGGAGACTCCTCTGGCCAACCGCCTCCAAGCAGTGGGGAGTCCCCTGCAAAAGGAGCCTCCCGCGGTGGCCACCCCTGTCCTGAGGGGACAGTGGCAGCGGGAGTGGAGACTTGGGCTTTTATCGTGGGGCAGCCACACACTTGGCAGATTTTACTGAACACCGATACCCACCTTTTTCGATAGCTGCTTTCAAGGGCTCCCACTTAACGGGTGAGGTCCCAGAGGCTCAGAGAAGTGTCAGTCCCGTGCCGAGGCCTAGCTGAGTCCGAAGAGAGCCCAGCTCAGGCGTGTGTTAGCTGTGACGTCCCTCGGGTACCTCAGATGTCACTGCTAGTGTGACCCTCCCGGGGGGCGAATGCAGGAATAGTTATGACAAGTATTCGGGGCAGCTCTACAAGGTGACTGTCGGGACCTAAGGACTCTTCCTAGACAGAATGGAGGTAACAGGGACAGAGAAGGGGAGCGGCCTTGGTGGGCACCCTTCACCAGCTGGGCGTCCGGGCCTGCCGGGGGGCTCTGGGGTTGTTCCTCCTGGTGAGCCGGGCACACTTTGTTCCACCGAGTGCCACCCACAGTGTCTCTTGTCCAGGCCATGACCGATGACGCCTCCCCTGCAATGGCTGGGCAGGCAGTGGTCAGCAGGCCCCCTTGACCGGAGCGGATCCCACAGGCAGGTGGGCTGTGGGCGTGCGCACCCCGGCACGTGAAGCCATTTCCACGCTGTTCCCATCATGTCCCCCAGAACACGGTCACACAACACGAGCTGGAGGAGTGCAGCTGCCAGGCCCAGGTCCAAGGCCCCGGATCCACGAGGACGCCAGCATCACCTCCCTGCGTCATTCTCACCATGGAGAGGACCCGTGGCCGCACCCCCAGGGCAGCGGGCAGGTGGGGGCCGGGCCTGGGGCCGGGGGCGATGTGTGCCTCCCCCCAGACCCATCTGCCTTTTAGGGAAACAGGAAATGCTGCTTCAGGTCGACAACTCCCGCAGCCAGACAGGCGGGTGGGCAGCAGGCTCGCGCCGGGGCTCCGGGGCTCCGGGCAGGCAGGGAGCGGGGCCCTCCATGGGGGGTGGGCACCAAGGCCCAAGTGGGGCTTAGGGCCAAGTTTTCAATTTGCCACTTCCGAGAGCTGCGCCTTCGGGAACGGGGCCAGGAAGACCCGTCGAAAGGTTAGAGACGTAGTGATCTTCTCAGACCGAGCCAGTCTCTAGCCTGCGAGCAGCTGCCAGACTGAAGCTGGTGAATCCACTCCCACCTGAAAGGAAGGAGCAGCCGAGGTCACCAAACCTGGGCCTCTCTTAGTCTTTCCCTCTGTTTCCCTGACACGTGCACATCACCTCACCCCAGGACCGATGCCTCAGAGGAAGGGAAAAATTAGCTGTAATTTGAAAATTCTTATTTTCCTAGTGCACCTGAACGTATTTCTCGAAAGTAAATCTTAGGGCTAAAAGCCAGAGTTGAGGGGTCTGCTTTCATTTATGATCCGATTACCAAAGTTAAAGTGCAGGGAGTCTTTTCCAGTAGAATATTTTATTTTCATTGATTTTTATGGGCAGCCAAGACACCTTACAATACTTTCTAGACCAGCTTTTCACACAGCAAGACAGTTCACATACCAGTCCCACAGTCCAGCCTAAGCAGCATCTGGTATCACAGAATAGAAGCAGCACAGAAGTCAAATGTTAAGCTGAATTGCATGTGCTATTTGCTAAACAGGAATTTTCAATCACATGAATCAAAAGAGCAATACCCCGGAACTACCACCGCCGGGGAATGAGTTATACAGCTGCTGCCCATGCAAGGGCTGGGGCTCCTCCAGCCTGAAAGCCACACAGACGGCACCCGAGGGCCCTGTCCCTCGTCACCGAGCCGAGTGCACAGGGGTGGAAGGTGGGACAAAGGAGGCAGAGCACACAATTCCGCCCGCCTGCGCGTGGAGGGGCCGAGACTGTCCCGCCGGACCGCAGAGGTGCGCCCGGGCCGGGCCCTCTCCTGCGCTTCCCACAGCGCATCCGAAATCTCAACTCAACTCCCTCAAAGATGACAGGCAGCCCGGCCACTTGCGAGCTGATGGGAGGGGAAGGGGAGACGGACACAGAGAGCCTGGCAGCCATCTTCAAAATATTTTATTACAAAATACAGTACAAGGTTCACAGAATGTTCCCGCTCCCTAACACGTGCGCTGCCGAGGGAGGCGCTGCCGAGCCAGCTGCCGCCATGACGACTCTACCTTCTAGAGTCATGTCATCCCTCAGAGAGTGCCCAGCAGCTGTGACGGGCGGAGACGGCAGTCCCCAGGCAGGGGTTCGCTGCTGCCAAGACACTTCTCCCGGGGTTGAAATCCACGGCCACGGCTGCTGCCCCACCAAAAGCTGGGGCCCAAGTCCGCACGTCGATGAGGCAAGTGGAACAAAAACAACTCGGGACGCCCGGAAGCCTGGGCCACTACTTCTTATTCCTGGGCTTCAGCTCCTCAGCGGCATTACGCAGGAAAATGTAATTTTTCTTTTGAGGATTATAAAATTCATGTCCCTAGAAGGAAGAAAAACCCAATTATCTTATTATTAGAGAGAAGAAGTCAGCATTTTGTGGGCACTTTTTAAATATCAAGTTTTGTGCCAGGTGTCTGAGGACTAGTTCTGTGGGGAAAACAGAAGTAAAAGTTGATGGACAGAGATAAAAGTCAAACGCGGAACAAAATCTTCAGTCCTCAGAGAAAAGATAAGAACTTGGTGCCAAGACCAGCCAGTGGACCGTCTCTCAAGTCCAGCAGAGGGTGACCTTCCACACTGGTCTGTTCAGTGCTGAGCTCCTTTTACCTTTGCCCCTGCTGCCCCAAACCAAGCGGCCGGCCGGCAGTCCTCAGGAGAGGACCAGATGCCAGCAAGGAGACTGGGGCGTCACGGGGCCAGGGCAGGGGGCAGGACGAGGCTCCAGAGATCCGGAGAGAGGGGTGCAGTGAATGTGGGGCCAGCAGGTGTGCTGGTGCCCGAGGGAGGTAGAGGACGGCTGGCAACAGTGGGGAGGCCCGGATGTGAAAGGCCATGAATGGCACCGACCATAGGGAAAAGGAACGGCAGCCAGAGGGAGGGACCGTGACGGGACACAAAAGACTTGTGGAGAGCAGAGTGTGGGCAGGTAAGCAGGGGCCTGGGTTGATGGAAAGGCCTGCACAGGGCAGGGGGAAGCGCCTCTGGGCACATGCTGCTCCTGTACTTCACATCATGCTTCACTCTAGGCCTTGACAGAGCGAGATGGTTCCAGAAGTTCTGCTCAGTGATGACCATTAATTCTCTAAAAGCCGAACCACAGCTTTTCCAAACAGCAAGCTCGTGACATTAATCACATTTAGTCATGGAGATAGCGATCAATCCGTGAGCTAAGAACGGAAAATTCCTGTCATTTAAAGACCGTCAGGTAATTCCCACTGTAAAGTGGCACCAACTGCTCGGCTGAGTCTGTTTTGAGTGGCACTCAAGGAAATGACGTCCTCCCGCCAGGCCACTGCAATGCCCCTTGGGCTGAGCCTGTGAAGAGCCCCCAAGAGGGGCCCCAGCAAAGCCTGGACAGCGACCCCACGCCCCACCTGTGCCTGCTGAGACAACTCGGCAGGGAGAAGGGAAGCATGGCGACGCATCATCATGGGCGAAACAGCTCTAAAAACCTGCGTGCAAGAAGGCGGCTAAGAAGAGTACAGTGTATGTATGGCTCCATTTACGGAAGATTCCAGAAAATGCAGACTCATCTACACTGCAGAAAGCAGCTCAGTGGGGGGGGGGGGGTGTGTGGCATGGGGGGGTGACAGTGATACACATGGAAACTTTGGGGAGAAAAATGTCAGCTCAACTGTGGTGACGGTTTCATAGGTATATACAGTCACCGAAACCAAGCAAATCACACACTTTAAACGTGTAGATGTTCTGCACTAGTTATACCCCGGGAAAGCTACTCAAAATGAGGGGGAGCAGCTGCATGGGTCCCAAAAGCAAACCCTCAGAGAGCAGGCAGGCGCGCAGGCCGAGATCTGGCGCAGGTCGAGCACCTGAGAGGCCTTGCTGAAAGGGCCAGGAACCTCGAAGGTGGCAGCCAAGCTTGATGAGTGCTGGCTCCCCTGAGGAGAATCCAAGGTGGCTCCGAGACTATGACCTGAGCGTCTGGACCTCAATGTGCTCCAAGCAGGAAGGCAGTGGCAGCAGCAAGCCCGCAAGATGCATGGAGGGGCGGGCAGGAGCCGCCCCTAGCAAGGGCCCCGGTGCCACAGCCTGCTAGGAGGATGGGGGCAGAGGTCTGCAGCCAAGCTAGAAATGGAGCTGTGAGCCCGGCTGGCCCAGGAATGCAGGTCCAGCCGGAGAACTCATCAGCCTGAAGTTGGGCGAAGGCTGGCTCACGAGATGGTTGAGGCTGGAGAAGAGCAGCCAGAAGAGGAGGTTGAGGAGCACTGAGGGGGAAGAAAACAGGAAACAGAAATGTCGGCAAAACTGAAGGACACAGTTTTGTGGAGGGACGGGAGGACATGAAAGGAAGCCTCTAGACCAGACATGTGAGCTGAGACCCTGCCCATAGCTCCAGGCCTGCAGCGTGCAGTGGCCCAAGCAAGGGAGATGAAGTGCCCGAGTGTGAACCATTCTTGACGAGGCCAATGCCTATGTACCACCGTGCAGGGCCAGGCCCCAGAGAGGGGGCAGGGCAAAGGCGTGAGGTTTCCCTGTACAGGGGTGACCACCGAGTCCCTGCTCCGTGCTTACAGCCCGCTACCGCTGTTCTCCTTTGCCACAGGGCCAGGTGACTGCCCAGGACACACGGCCACTCGGGCTGGGCCCGGCCTCACAGGCGGCGCCCTCACCTTGGACCAGTCGTAGCTGGAGGCATACGCGAAGATGTTCCCGTTGTGGTTGAAGCAGCAGGCCGATATCGGCTGGTCCAGCTGTTCCGAAGTTTTCAGTTTTGTTCTGGCGTCTTTGTCCCAAAAGCTGAATCTGCCATCAGACCCCACAGTGGCGAGGGTGCCATGCACAGGATGGAATGCGATGCCATTTACCTGCAGGGCGGAGAGGCACAGTGAGAGGCGGGAGCGTGAGAGAGAATCAGGTTCCTGAAAGTACTTCCGGTGTCTGCTGGCAAACAGCAGTCCCGGCCTGGTGTTTTATCAGAGAGGGGCCACAGGCCACAGGAGGAAGCAGCCAGGCTCTGTCTCCCATCACGCACACACAGAAGCTGCTGAGCTGCTGTGACGGAAGGCACGGACCTCAGGGAAACACCTGGCTCCTTCTCAGCAAACAGTGGTCTCGGATCCAGTGCGGCACAAGCTTACACGCCACCACGCTGGAGGAGGAGGCAGCACTCGCCCCAGGTCCAAGCTCATATTAGCAAGAGAATGATTAGTCGCACGTTCACGAAAACAGCAGACAGACACCCGCCTCGTGCGTGAGCGCTGCGACAGCCCTGCCCGAGCCCCGCGATGAGTCAGCCGCCACCTCCTCGTTGGGTTTCTAGGCGTGCGCAAGGCCAAGTCTCAAAACTTACCGCGTAGATGTCCTGAGGGGCGGAAGTGTTGGTTCCGTTGGAGCGATGACATTTAAAGGTAAAATTATCTTTGGCACTGGAAAAAAAAAGACCCAATTAAGTTATCCTTTTTTAAAAGGGTCTCAAGTGAGAGTGTGCAAGTCATCGAGCCCACTTACGGGTTTGGGGGGTTGATGTAGTGAATGGCGACTCTCCCCTCGATACTTCCCAGGGCAAAACCAGTCGGCTTGTTCTGTTTGTCTTTAAAAATGGCCACGCAGCGATGCTACAGTGTGAAGGGAAAAGGATATGATCACTATGGAAAATACCAACAGTTCACACCGGGGCGGAGCGGAGGCCGACGATTTCGACCCCACTTCTGGGCCTAGAGGAACCACAGACTCGATGCAGACATGACAGAGGAGGGACTTCTGGGCCAGCGAGTGTCACTGTCTCACTCCTTAGCGCCTATGGCCTTCGGGCTACGGCTTCTTAGGGCCACTGGTTCTCCCCGCCTCTCCACCACGACACAGCTGCATGGTAGCCCGGTGTGAAGCCAACAGCAGCACCTCGCAACACCTCGAGGCTGGTGCCTGGCCCGGGCTGGCAAGATGAAGTAGACCAGCAAGGTGGCATCAAGAAACGAGAAGTCACTGCTGGTCAGCAGGGCCTGGCCAGGTCAGAAGCGTGGCTACCAGAGCGTGCCTAATGTGGCAACAAACAGATCTCGTCACACTAGCAGGGCAGAAGAGAGCCTGGAGGTTAAGGAGGTAACAGAAAGGGGAAGAGGAGTGAATCCAGGATTTCTAGGTTTCTGACTCAGACAACACGCAGAAGGAGGTGCTGGTGACAGACTGGGAGCACGTGGGGAGGAGCAGGCAGGGGTGACAGGAAGGCAGGTCAAGGTCACTCTGGTCGCCCGCAAACACAACAATCTCAGGCCAGCTCCAGTGCTGGGGATAAGGCAGCAAATCTGCTCTTGCTGAGTTATGTTCTAGTCAAGACAGGGTAAGGCAGAGTTAATGGCTGTGGACATGGGCCTGAGCTGCGTGGGCCCAGTTACTTGCGACGCAGCCGAGCACGTGTCCCTGGTTGAATCCGAGACGAGGAGCCCGAGAATAGAGGGGAACGAAGTGTACCTTAGACTAGGATTTTCAACCCCTCACGGTTCAAGGGGTAACTGTATGTAAACGTGCACACAGAAGACGCCCAGGCGCGTACATACAGTTTGGGAACCCCCGAGGAGAGGTCACATTTGAGTAAAAATCTTCGGACGGCGGCGCTGGTTCGCTGCGGGACACTGACTGAGACGTGGGGACGCACGACGGAAGTGAGGCGGCGGTGTCCTTGTCGGGAGCACAGAGGTGAGGTGTGCAGGGGATCCAGCTCCCTTCCGCCAAGTGTACGTAAGCCACAGCAATGCACGAGAGATGAGACTTTGCTCAGGTAGAGAGGGCAAGGCTCAAGGCAGAGGCCTGGGAACCTCAACTTTCAGCAAGAACCAGCCAAGGAGATGAAGCACGGCTCAGAAACTGACACCCCAGAAGCCCAGGACAGAAGGTTTAAGAACATGAGGACAGAGGTGACAGGAGTTGATCAGCATCCAATGGAATCACTGACAAGGAAGCCAGGATCAGCCACGCCAAAAAGCCAGTTTCAGCGCCATGATGGGGACAGCAGTCGCCATCGAGGTGAGAATGAGTGGGCTGGGAGGTGAGGGAACCAAGAAAGCTCACGAGAGACGCTGAGTGCTAAAGGAGAATGGACCCAGCAGTACTGGAGGAGGGTGTGGAAATCAGGGTTTCTTTTCTGGGATGTTAGCCTTGAGCTGCTGTGGTGCCAGGGGGAGCTCGAGGAAGGAGGTACCAGAGCACTCATGGGGATACCAGGAAGATGCAGGAGTGCCTCTGTTAGGAGCTGAGGGCTCCCGAGCAGGTGGAGGGCACGGCATCCCAGCACATAACTGGTCTCCAGAGAAGTCTGAATCCAGCCACAAGGAAAGGGGGGGGTGGGGGGGAAAACGTAGGCACGGGCAGCACACCAGACCCAGCAGGGGAAAGAGGAGGAAATTCCCCAGCCACCCACGTGCATGTTCTCCGAGCAACAGCTAGTCTGATGTGCCGACACAAAGCCTGAAGGAGTGGTACTGTGGACTGTGAAGAGGGTGAAGACTGAAGAATCTAAGAAACTTGGAGAAGTGGAGACCGAAACTTGGTGATCCGGGCTTGGCTGAAGCCAGAAGCAATGAATTACACTTTAGTTCTTGAAATTCAAAGAGAAGAAACTCATTTCAACAAGAGGTCACACGAAACAAACAAAACAGCCCCAGACCAGAGCAGCAGCCCCTGTAACGTAGAGCACCCAGTCCAGAGCAGCGCGTGCTTACTCACTGGACACCCAGGAGCTTCCCAGACACTCACCGCCGTGGCAGACAAGGTGCTTGAGAGTATTACCAGCTTTCATGTGTGGAACTGTCTGCTTAGACAGGGCCAAGCACACGCTGGCTGAGCTGACCTGCGACTCACCTGATGCTTCAGTGGGGATTCTATCCTCCTGAACTCAGAGGGCTGATTCTCTAGCTGGTAGACGATCAGTCCCCTCTCTGCAGTTGCCACCACAGCCATAGGATAGATCTAGGGAATGAGCAAGCAGAGACCTTCTTAAAATGAAGTGTACTTTTTAAAAATGAATACCAACATATTAGATCAATTTTTTTTTTTTTTTTTTTTTGTGGGACCCTCGCCAGCAGCCGGGGAACGAACCGGCACTGCAGAGGCTGCGGGCAGCCTCACAGCCCAGCGCTCAACCGTTGAGCCACCAGGGGAGGCCCCATGTTAGATCAATTTCTTAACAACAAAAATAAATCTGATTTTTGTCAAGTTTAAAAGTCCAGTAACATGCTTCATGAAATACAAAAAACTTAAAAAATCATATTTGAAAACAGAACATTCACATATTACAACTTTTTTTTTTTTTAAATAAAAAAGATGTGAATAGGGCCTCCCCTGGTGGCGCAGCGGTTGAGCGCTGGGCTGCAAAGCTGCCCGCAGCCTCTGCAGCACCGGTTCAATCCCCGGCTGCCAGGGAGGGTCCCACATGGCGTGACAGACCTCTCCTGCCGCCCGCTGCTCCCCTCAGCAGTGTATTTCGTAAGTCTGCCTGTTCTGTTCCCAGCTCTGGTTCTAGTGAATTCTCTCACCCTCCCGCGCTTCTGACTATACCCAGTGCTTGTATGAATAATTAATTAAAAAAATGTGAATATTCACAAAACATGCCGAGGGACACAGGAGAAATGAAAACCCAATGACAACCGCTGTGAGTGTCAAGCACATTTTACTTGCATCCCGTGTCTGAGCAGCGCATGTGCACCCGTGCGCTTCGACAGGATCCTGATCCTTTACTCAGAGTGAGGGCAGTGAGCCCCGTGCACAGCACATCCTGCCCCCGTCCCTCAACAGGCTGGCAGCTAACACCCCATCCACATGGGCCTGCATGCGGCCACTGAGCCCTGCCTGTCTGTCAGGCACTAGTTCATGTCCCATGTTTCCCCACATTAGACTGTCAGGGCAAAGACCATCTGCACCTTTATTTTCCTCATAACCAATTCTGAAAAGTGGAATTACTGGGGCAGCAGTGCAACTGTAGCTTGAGACCACGTGACAGAGAAAGTCCTTCAGTTTCTCTCCCATTCAGACACAGTCCCCCCACCCCCATTGAGCAGCAGTTACTGTGAGTTTCCTGGTCACATCATGATAAAGCGTCAAATGATGATGGGCTCGGCTGCCTGCACATTTTCAAAGTGGAAAGGAGATTATAAAACCTGACATCTTGTACTTAGTAATTCTGGACTAAATGCAGCACAAAAATCTCCCACTATAAGGTGTCTGAGGCAATGGGAAATAATTCCCTATATCTGTAATTAAAGTTTGAGAGGTTTATAGACTATCCTCTAACTGCAAGATGGTGTGTATGGTAAGAAACGCTTTCCTCTTTTAAGAAAAGAAAATACAGAGATTCCTTACCACGTCAGCACAGTAACACCTCTCGGGGAGCTGCAAAACCATCATAGGATTTGAGGATCGTGTATCCCAAAACTAAAAGAGGGGGAAAAGCCAGTAAGTAGAGGCCATTTGGAGCTTCAGCCCAAACCGTGCAGCAGTAGCATCAACTCTGGGAGGGCGAGCAGTCCGGCCACGCGGGCCTACCTTCAGAGTCTTATCCCAGCTCCCGGTCATCACACAGCTGTAGTTGGGGGCTTTGATCCAATGTATGGTTTTAACAGGAGCTTCATGCTTTCAACAAGACAAAATCAAAACAGATCAAGGTAAACTTAACAAAATGTTACACTTCAGTTCTTGCAACTCAGAAGAAACTCATTTCAACAACAGGTCACAGGACACAAACAAAACAGTCCCAGACCAGAGCAGCAGCCCCTGTAACGTAGAGCACCCAGTCTCATCTAACAGGCTGACCGCACGCCCTCCGGAGGGGTAGCACAGACGTCACTGGTAGGGAGCTCCCGAGGCTTCACTTTTCACTCATATGGTGTGAACCAAGAGTCCGGGAGGTAGGTCCCGCACGTGGTGTGGTGGTCGCTAGAAGCTGCTCTGACCCGAGCAGCCCCCGGACTCGACGCTTCTCTCCTACTGCTGCCCTCACACCCTGCCAGCCTGCTGTCCTGAGCACACTATAAAAGCTCCGCGTGTGGGGGGAAGGTCCCCGACTCACTGCTGAATCTCCACCCTAACAACAGTGCCTGAAACCTAGCAGGCATCTGAAAAGTACTGCTGAATGAGTAAGTGACTCCACACAACTGGTAGAAGGTATGTCACACCTGGCTCTGGAAAGGCGAACGTGAACGCTGAGGGCCCCGTGTAATGTTTGTCTATTTTACAGAAGCTGTCAGTGACTCTGCCGCTGCCACCCTCATCCACAGGCCTGTGACCCTGGACGGGCAAGGTTCTCGTGCTGAAGTTCCTGACAGAGACTGAAGTCTACCCGAGCTGGCAGAGCCAAACTGCATTTCTGTCTGTGATAAAGAATTCTTATAACTAAAGAACCCTCACGACTCAGGGCGCTCGCCTTGGCCCGCTGTCCGCAGGCTGTCATTACCTGCGCAATCTGGATTGCCTGGTTACTGTTGAGGTCCCACATCTTGGCAGTCTTATCACAGGATGCTGTGAACACTTTGCTCCCATCCTACAACAAAATGGAGACAATCTGGCATTCTAAGAAAATATATAATTCTACCTATATGGACAATGAGAAATCAGATTGGACATATTGAAGCAGGTTTTTCTTTCCAGTTTTTACTTTACCAATATCTGGGGGCCAGCGTTTTTCCAAAAGATACTATAATATGTAAACTGGGTGAAGTAATACAAAGGGCATTTAAGTCCTACAGGGAACCCCAAGTCTCCCCTATCACTGACTCTAATGCTCCCCTCAGAGGCAGCCCTGGAAGTCTTTGCATATCCCACATGCACCTCTAACTTCAAGGGCCACAAACATCTTTTTTGTACTCTGATCAGTTTCAAGTCTTCACAAAAGTCACAAGAATATTGCGACAAAAACCTTCACCAAATTCGTTTTTGTGTGTGTGTGTGTGTGTGGGACCCTCGCCGGCGGCCGGGGAACGAACCGGTGCTGCAGAGGCTGTGGGCAGCCTCACAGCCCAGCGCTCAACCGCTGCGCCACCAGGGGAGGCCCCAAATTTGGTTTTTATACCTCAAAGATCATGCTGGCTCTTTTGTGCTCCTGTGCCTTCCTCTCCTGGAAAGCCCTTCCCACCGTGCTCAGGTAACGGATCATAAGTTCTCAGATGCTGCCTATTCGCCCCTAGGAGAGAGGCTGTCAAGTGCAAGGGCTCTGGAGCCAGCAAGGCCTGGGCCTGGGCTCTGCTGCTCACTTGCTGTATCCCTTGGGCAAGTCGTGTCACCCACCACTTGGTGACGGGCAGCACGCTGGTCCCTTTGTGCAGATTTACCAGCTGTCACAATGTGCCACTGTCGGAAACTCTCATGTCTATTTGTCCTAAGTAGTCACGAGTTCCAGGAGCACAGGATCTCCCTGTCTTGCCTAGTGGGACTGTCACACATTCCCCAGTGCTTAGCACACACTATGTGTCTGATAATTATCTGCCAAACTAAATAATATACTTATTACTACTTTCACTTCCTAAGTGAGGGAACAGATTCCAATTAATTAAGTAATTTGGCAAAATCAAAAAGCCAGAGGAGACAGAGGTAAAACTTGAACCTGGGCCTGGACTGGATGAGACAATGCTCGAAAAGCCACACCTGGTTCCTGTTCCTTGTGAGACTCGGCAATTCTTCTCTTCACAGCCTTCTAAACTCCCCGTCCCCTTCTCTGCTCCCTCCCACCCAGTGCCAGCACCTCCTGCCTCCCTGAGCACTCAGCTGTAGCAACATCTGCAGGCCTGTATTCCCGTCCCCCACTAGATGGCGGCACCCGGGAGACCGGCCACTCCGTAATGTCCGGAGGAGACAACTCCCATATAGTTAACTCGATTTCCTACCACACTTTATATGAAACTACAGTTATGATCCATTACCTCAGCAGAAAAGAAAGACAAGCAAAATAAGTCAGAAATATTTTAATCTGTTTACCAAATCGTTACTTTTGCACATGTAAATTCAAACCAAGTTCTACCTATAATAAATGTTATCTATCACTTTTCAATCTGCTTTCATAAATACACCATTAGTCTCCTAATCACCCACAGGACGGGTCAGGAATACATTTTGCAAATGACAAAGAGGCCTTACAAAAGAATCCTATCAAAGTCAATGATTATTATGGAAATAACTCACTCATAAACCATTTCAAAATATTTATAAGCAGCATCCCTTCATTTTAAGTTAAAAAAGGTCACATAAATCCATAGTGCAATTTAAAAATGGTGTAAAACAGAGCAGACTGGCAGCTTCCCCAAGTTAAACATGCTTATTACCACATGACCCGAATTAAGACACCGCAGAAAAACGAAACGTGTTCAGAGAACCATGCACAGGAAGGTCTGGAGCCGCGTCACTCATCATGATCAAAAACAGAACAACCCCACCTGCTCTGAGGGAGAATGGCAAAAAAGGGCGACACTCCAGACAACAAGGCGCCCCAGCACTGAGTTGGAGGGACCAACTATGCAGAGTGGAAGAGGTCAGACTCCAGGCGACAGACAGCGGCAGAACCCCACTGACACGACATGACCCGGGGGCAAAAAACAAGGGGGTGGGGGGGGCACACAGGGCAGAAGAGGACCTGGATCTCGACATCATTTCGATGCATTTCTCAAAACAGACAATTACATGCTAGTAAAATTTTACTCTTCCAAATCACAGTTTCCAAGTTTGCCGGAAAACATACAGACAAGGTCAGGGAGAGGCTGAGGCTTGCTCCCCTCACGAACAGCACTGGCCCTGCCTGTCAGGTCTATTGTCTTCTGGCTTCTGCTGGGTCCAACCACCAGAAGAGGCGCTGGGTTGTCCCTCCCTAGCCCCTCCTCTGCGGTGGGGGTGAGCGGCTGGAGCTGCAGCTCTTATGACCCTGCCCCTGGTTCTTCACCTTCCCTGTGGGGGTTCTTTGCAAAAGATCCCCTCATTAAACTCTCCTCAATCACCAAAACAAATGGAGAAGCTCAGAGACACACAAACTTGGAACATGTTTGCTTAGATTGGGAATCTGGGAAGAAAAGAGAATTAAAAAGACCCAAACCACATCCAAAGTTTTCCAACACTAAAAACAGGGTGGACTCACGTCGCTCCAGCAGACGCCCAGCACCGGCCCCGTGTGCATCTGCTGGGCCTTGGGGATGGTCTGCCCGCTGTCCTGGACCTCCCAGCAGCGAACCTGCAAGAGGAAGGCAGGTGGATGCGCGTCTGTTACAGGGACGGAGCGGGGTGACCAAAGGGCGTCTCCACCCGATGGTCTAACCCCAAGAGTGAGGCAAGGGAAAAGATATGCAAGCAGCTCTTTTCCTATTTCTAAAATAAACCAATTCCATTGTTTATACTAAACCTAGAGATAATTTTTTAGCACATCTGTAAGTCTACCTGTCTTCTAAAGTAGAAGGTCACCTTTCACCATTCAGAGGAACTTAAATTTGTCCGCCGAATAATTTTATCTTTCCTGATTATAGAAGTAATGCAAATAGAACAAGAAAATAAAAATTACCTTAGTCCCACCACAGTGACAGGTCAGTGTTCTGTCTTTCCATGTGCACCTGTTTTCTTGAAACTAGATTGTACAGTAGCTTCACCTTTGTAATCGCAGCTTTCCCCAGTTACATTACCAGCTGCCAGTAAACACACTTCTGCCATTCTTAGCAGCAAATCAATTGAAATCTTCTCAGAAGCGCTATTTGGAAAGCTCACTTGCTCGACCACGACCACCTCCGACTCCCCTGCTTTTTGTGCAGTTTGAAACCTTTCCTCAAAACTTCTGAAGTGGCATTTCAGACAGACCTGCCATCACTTCCCATCACCATGGGAGACTGTGGTTTCTTTAACTGACAAACATGAAGACTTTTAAAATTAGGTGATTTTTAGCCCAGATCCCAGGTCAGGCTATGGAGACCTGCAGCATTTGCCACCTCAGATGCAGGACCTGGGCCAGGTACTTCTTTCTCTAATAAGCCTCCTCTCCTGCTCTATCAGGTGAGATGACGGTGAGCCAGCGCGTTACTGCAGAGCTGAAGGCCTAGGATGGCTTCCCTGAGATCAACTCAGGGGTAGACACCTAAGGATTTCTGATATTATTGCCAACCACCAAGAAGGGCTGTGCCAATTTACACACCAACCAGTAGTGCAGGTAAGGTCTCAGTTTACCTTGGCTGGCACTAAGCACTCCTTTTTGAAACCTTTTTTGTTCAATTTGATAGAAAAGAAACTATCACGTAAATTGGCTTTCATGTGATTACGAGTGTGGCTGAACGGTTCCATCTAACAGGCACTTGCACTCATTTTGTGAGATGCCTTTTCATATCCTTTGCTAGTCAGAACTGCTATTTAGTCTTTCTTCTAGAGGGGTTTTTTTTTGTGAGCAGAAGAATTGGGGTACAGGCCAGAGATGCGAGGGGTGAGAGGATTCCCCAGAGACAGAGTGGGGAGCAGAACAGGCAGACTGACTGAAATACACTCTGAGGGGAGCAGCAGATGAGACAGGAGAGGTCTGCTGCACCATGTGGGTTGCTCCCTGGCCGGGGACTGAACTCAGATTGCAGTGGTGACAGGGCTAAGACTTGATCCTAGGCCACCAGGGGGGCCCTTTCAGAGTTTTTAATCTTCCTTTTTGCGTACTTTGTTTTGCTTACTTTTCAGCCACCATTGTAAGTATCATGTCCGTACAGAATTTGTGCAACACATATCTAAAGTAGGAAAAATTGAACACAGGCCTGAAGAACGTTTCCGGGATGCCCGGACCGGGAGTTATGCCCGCCATCGTGGACAGCCCTCACGCTCAGTGAACACTACTCTTGATGTGAGAACACAGGGCAGAGCGCTGGCCCAGAGCAGACTCTTGAGTGATGCACATGATCATGCCGCCCTGACAGAAAACAGTGTAACATCAAGTAATGCCTGCCATCTCGAAGGGGCCACACCCCCTAAACTGGTTTCCTTTAAAAAAAGGCCCTGCATAAGCCTCCATGCCGCTTGCTTTGTCCGCTGGAGGAGGATGGAGTCACAAGGAAAGCTGCCCTCGCCCACTCAAGGGGAGGAGAGATGCCCAGGGAACAGGCCTCAAGGCTCACTCACATCGTTCGCCCAGGATCCTGCAATGAGAAAGTTGCCGGGCAAGGTCGGCGGGCTGAAGGACAGACAACCGATGCTATCGTCAGGAGAGGACGTCACTTCAATGTCCTGAGGGAGGGGAAAGTTGATGTTAAGTATGTGCCTTGTCACAAATAAATAAAAATTTCTCCCTCAATATACACGCCATGGTAGAGTCTCCTTGTGCTCAAGAGCTAGCTGCACTAAACCTTTCTCATCTGACCAACAAGGGGAGCAAGTAATAACAAGGCAGTGAAATGCCAGCGCAGTTGGGGCGAGAAGCAGCACCAGCACTGGAATGTTCAGAACCTGCTCTCCCAAGGGCAGGCTCTGCAGCTCACGCTTCCCGAAATTCTGATTCAACAGCTGAAGGCTGGGTCTTGGGAACCTACAACTTTAACAAGAACGCTGGGTAACTGCAGTGAGTGGGGATTCAGGTGGAACAGGACACCGGTCCAGGGGGCCGCTCTGGGCTCCGAGGCCCCAGGAAGCTGGCTGGCCAATCTCATAGTGGAGATCGGCGCCGCAACGGGCCTACCTTCATCGGGTTGTGGTTATCCGTCGTCGTGCTGCCAAACATGCTGGTCCCGCCAGTTCCAAAACCCGAGGTTGTTCCAAACAGACTCATTTTGGCCCTAAAGAGTGGACAACGGTAAGGAAAAAACATCACCCAGAGTCAGCATGAAGGTAATGAAGTCACAGGAGGGAAACAGTTTAAATGACTTGATCCAGGCTTCTTTCTTCCGGAGAGATCTGAACGTGAGATAAGCAGAGTGGTGCTTTGCTGTTACTTTAAAGTAAACTAAAATGTGAAAGAAATGGTAAAGACAGGAGCGCGAGAAAGAACCAGCATCAATGCAGGAGACTGCAGTCTTTTTTCATCACTAATTAGACAATAAACCAGCTTATTCTTTTGCTAGACCCACGGAGCTGAGCACAGGAACATGCCAGCAGAGGGCCCATCCTCCCAGAGACCCACTCAGTGAGCGTTCACTCTCCTTTTACCCACTTCTGCGCTCTGATTTAGGGTAGTGGCTCTCCATGAAGTTTCCTGGAAAAGCAGCTGATCCTGCCAGCGACTCTGTAACTTCTAGGTAAGAGGAGTTTAAAAAGTAATCCATGAGGGTCTGCTTGGGCACCAAAAGGTCTGGCATCTATGTTCTGATCATTTGCCATCAAAACCCCTTCACTCTGAGCTTCTTCCCAGACAGCACAGTCCAGCAGCCCCGCCAGAGCTGCATGTGCCACTCACCAGAGCCGGGGCCCTAATCTCACCGGACTTCACTGCCCCGCAACACACAGCACAGCGACACCCTCTCCAGAGCTGCGCCGAGCACAGTGACCGCCTGCAGGAAGACTGACGTGCGTACAGGGAACAGCCAGCCCTTCCCAGGAGGAAGTCTGCGTGTTGTGACTTCCCGATGACTGATCGCTCGACGCCACATTTTCGATTCTGTCCTTGCTTAGCAGATTTGCACGCCCGGATTCACTGGTCAGTCACTGCTCCCGAAGGAGCCTGGCAGCGGCAGTGGAGGGACAGGGAAAGCGGGTAGCATCTCTAAGGACAACCCAGATGGGGAAACTGCAAGGAACTTTGGGAAAACATTTGAGTTTTCGGAGCATCACTAAAAGCCAGCACAGACACACAAGGTCAGAGCAATAGCCGCGCGCACATTAACAGCTCCGAGAGCGGCCACCTCTGCCTCCAGCCCAGAGCGTGTCTGAAAAGCCCGGTATCTGAGCGAAGGGAAAGGACAACGCCAGGCACGACCTCTCACGTGGCTCTGGGCGAGTCCGAGCCCCGATCTGACACACAATATCCACCGAGGAGAGGGACTGAACGAGGCGGACACCCTGTGCTTCCAGCAGGTTCCTGACAGACGCGCCTTCCCTTTCTCGCCCTCCGCAGCCGCGGGGTCCAGGGAGCAGAGACCCGCTGAGAGAGAGACCGGGAGCCTCCAGGCCCCCGAGGCCTGCGCGTCTCTCTCCCACCTGCGCCACCTCCTCCCTCCCCCGCCCCACCCACCCCGGCCCCGGGACCCCTCTCGGCTCCTGAGCAGTGCGGCACCCCCTCCTCGCGGCACCCCCTCTGCTAACCCCTCGGGGGCCCCCTTTGAGCCTTCAGGTCCCCTTCAAAAGTTTCCTCCCGAGAGCGCTGCCGGGCAGCGGAGGTGGTTGGCACCGCGGCGCTGCCAGGCAGAATGTTTTTAAAGCAAAACCCGCCTCCCCCGCGGCTCGCCCGCCCGCCGCGCACGCCCGCCTCGCTGCGCCGCCCCGGCCGCCTCCGCCCCGGGAGAGCCCGGGAGGGCCCGGGAGGGCCCGGGGCGCGCGGCTCCCGGCACAGCGCGGCGGGAGGGCGCACAGGGCGGGCGCGGGGCGTCGTGGGCCCCTCGGGGGCGCCCCGAGACGCGCGGGGCGCCTTCCGCAGAGCGGGGGCCGGCCGGCTCCGAGGGGCGCCGGGCGAGGCGGCAGCCGACCACCCCCCGCGCCCGCCCGCCCGCCCGCGGCCCCGAGCGGCGGGGAGACACCCGGCGGGACCGCCCGCGGCAGCCCCGGCCACTCCCAGGCTCGCCGGCCGGGGGCATCTCGCGGCGGGGCGCGCTCGGCGGCGCGGGGCCTACCTGAGAGTCGCGCCGCGACGGGAAGCCGGCGGCGGGAACGCGGCGGGCTCGGGGCGCGTGGCCCGACGCCGGCGAGAGGAGGCGAAGGCGAAGGGGCGCGAGGAGCAGCCGAAGACCGCGGTCTCCTCGCCGACGGATGAAACGGTCCTACTTGTTGCGGAAGCACTGCGCATGCGCTCCTGTATCACTTCCGGTGCCGTCCGGAAGACGGGGAAGTAAAAGACTCCGCCTCTCGCGAGGTGAGAGCACATGCGCAGAAGCGCTGTTGACGCCGATAGGAAGTCCTCCTGCCAGTAGATTGCGGATTGGCTGAAAGTTGATCGGCGTTAAGCTGCACCGACCGCCTTGCAAATCCGCTCGCCGCCGGCGGGGGGTGCGTGGCTGTTTTCGCTTGTGAGCTGCGTGTCCAGCAATATTCTGACCCGCCCGTTATTCAGGCCCGAGTCCATTCTTCGAGAAGCTGACAGAACGTTGCCCGGAGTGCGGGGAAGCGGGTCACGGGGCTCCCGCCTGGCCCCCCGGGCGTTCCCGCTCCGCGCTGGGGGTAACGGGGCCAGACTTCCAGGGCGCCCCGGATTAGGTTCAAACGAAGTAACCCGCTTGGAAGGCTTTTGCTAAGGGTCGGGCTCCGTAGGAATGTCACCACGTACCAACAGTGAACATATCGGCATTTCAGCTGGTGCTTTTTCCCCTTTCAAGAACGTCTGAAGGGAGAGGAGGAAGGGCGCCCTCGAGGCGCCGCGCACGCCCCGCAGCTGCGGCTTTGCTCGTGAGCGTGGTCTGGTCCCAGCCACAGGGAACCTTACACTCCCTGGGATCTTGTTTAAAAATGCAGATTCAGTAGGTCCAGGGGGCCCAGGAACCAAGGTTTCTATCAAAATCCTAATTGGTATTGTTGGGCCAACAATTATCTTTAATTAAAAAATTTGAACTAGGCTTTGTGATCAGCTTGGCTGCGAAGATGCACATACTTCCTTGGGTTCCAATCACATACTTGGGTTCCAAAGCTATGACACAAGTGACTTCCCCTCCAGGGGCGCTCGTTTCACACAACGGTCCCCACCACCCCTTGTCTTATCTCAGACTCGCCCACCCCATTTCTTTAAAAAATGACCTGAAATATTTTCAAGAAACGTCCACCGGATGGAGGAACTGAGATGAGAGTGGAGCCTCTGCCAGCAGAGGGCGTCCCTGGCTTATTTTTAACACGATTCATTTCTTGGGCTCCATGACTTCCATGGTGAAGGTGTTCAAACAAAACTGTTCCAGAAAACTTGATTATAAAGACGTTCTGTTGAAACTATTTCTTAGTACCCATGTCCATGTGGTTTAGCTTTCAAAGCAGCTGTTCTCAGCACCACAGACCAGAGCTGCACCAGACTATTCAAACTGAGACACACTCATTAAAGGGAATTTAAGATGGAAAATCTAAGTGTTTTTCTTTTTACCTGTTTTGTATAAAGTGCAACATAGTTTTTCTCACGCAATTGTGACTTCTGAAATCACTTAGAATCACCACAATGACAGTTAAATTTCCCAGAAACCTGGGGAAAAGCAGCTTTTATTTTGCAAGGGTGACTATGAGCCCTTAAGGAAAAACCAAGATTCTCTGAACACCTTTTGTTGCACCAGGTGTTATTCGCTTTAATTACAAACAGAATCCAATCCCAACAGTCTTTCTTGGTTAAAATTATGAAAATAGTAGAAATAAATGGAGCAGCTGATGGTAAAGGATCTGTTGTCAGTTGCCCTTTTGAATAGCTGCCTATTTTAGAGTGATTCTTTCTAGAAACAAATCCTGAGAATCAGAATTATAGATGTTTCCCAAATAGCTATTAATATTAAATTTTCATCTATTTCTAATAAAGTAAATTCAAATTAGTGTATTTTGCTCTCCTTCCATTTTTATTTCCCCCCCCCAAAAATTTAAGTAAATTGATTTCTAATCATAAACATGATTTTATCCAAATTGAACATAGTGTCTGGTCTCTTTCAATCTACTTCAATGACTTAGATTTTTCATATCTTTCCATGCTGACAGTATATTCTAACCCAGACACTTTACGGCTTAGTCATTTATTTCTACATCAGTCATTTTCTCCTTTACAAAACTGGTCAAAGTTCAATGACATTATTAGATGTTAAGGGAGGACGTACGATACAAAGCCAAAGAAAATCTGTGATGTATAAAAAGTTCTTAGAAGTTTTGACAGTCTCACAAGTCAGTCAAACAGTGTACCAGAATGTTCTCCAAACGAGTGACTTGGTTCTGTGTGACAGGGAACAACATACTTGCTGCCTTCACAGGCCTGGCACCAGGCTCGAGTCACACTTGGTGGACAGAGCAGTGCAGGCCTCTCCTGAGCAGGGGTGTTAGGCCACACCAGGTCCTGCCTGGTGAAGGAGGTTTGTTTGGAGCCTGACTCTCAGGTCTAAGTCCCTGTGCTCCTGCTTAGTCGCTATGTGACCTCACCAGGAAAAGGCACGGAGCCTCTCTGCGCCGCTGCTGTCACTTCCGTGAGATGGGAATGATAAACAAAGCACTGAGCTCTTAGGGCTTCTGTGAGAATGAAATGGATGTTTGCAAAACACCTAGAAAAATACCTGGCACACATAAAGTACCTTGCTAGTATTTTCTTGTACAATGACATGATTTAACCCCATCACAGAGTTTTGAGCAGGCTGGCTCTGTGGGGGAGCGGCCTCTGCAGTCATGAAGGCCTGTGTCGGGAAGACCCCTCGGGCTCAGTTCTCTGCTGCAGTCATCTTGAAATTCATAATCACTTTGACAAGGAACTTGATGCTTACATTCTGATCTGGACACCTGCTCCCAAGGCAGGCAGTGTGACTGTCCCTGTTGGGGCATGCTCAGTGAGGGGGCTTTGAACAAGTGACATCCTCACTGTCCTCCCCTGTACAACAGAATGATGACCCCTGAGCCCCCAAGTTTTGGGAAGGGTTGGTAAGCAAATGTGTAGCTGTGATTGGCACATGTGCGTTCTCAGGTATCTTTTACTGACATATACCTGGATAAGCCCACTTTTCTGTACTTCTCTGATAAATACATATTCTTGCTTAGAATTACAAGAAACTTTGTAGAGCGGTTGAAACTACATAATATAATCATAAAACTCATCTCAGAGAAGATTAAAATCGGTTCTTGAACAGGAAAGATCATATCTTTATTGCCACAGAAGGGCTTTATTAAAATTTAAGACTTCTGCAAATCTTCAAACTGAAGTTCTTTGTTCTATCACCTAGACTAGCCTAGAAAAGCAGTGAGGCGACTTGAACTGGCAAGAGAACTAATAAAAACCTAGAGAAAGTTTTCAAATAAATAATATTAATAAACAGTATGCTCAAAAACAGAGTAAATAGAGCACTGAAGACCACATTAACCCAAATGTTTATTCATAATTTCACCAATGAATAAATGGGGCTTGGCTCCATACTACAAAGGCAAAGGAAAACAAAAGAAACTTCTGGACACTGTAATTCATTTACAACATCTCAAATTTAGGTTATTATTAGTTTGTGTTACTAATAAGATGCTATATGCCTTAATGTTAGTTATACTGTTGAAATGAAAACATTTTTGTAGACTTTAAAGAGTTTTTTCCCAAATAAAATTTTAAAGTTAAAATAACATATATCCTTTATAATTTACTTTAGGACATAGATCACAGAGGACAAAATAGAGCCCTTTAGAGAAAAGTACCGCATAACATTTGTTTTGATAAAAATAATGGTTAAGGGAGAATTATTTCATTTTACCTCTGGAGGATTAAGAATATACATACAACAATATCTACTACTGGAAACAAAACCAAAGAAAAGCCTCTTGTGATCATAAGTTATGTTGATGTTCTTAGATCCATCCTCCGAATTTTAGCTTATTGGGTAAGTATACTCTAGAGAGATAATCTGATGATAGGCAGGTCAAGGCTTGGATTTCTGCCTTCATTTTAGAGTCTGCCATTATTTCCATCTGTCAATAGAAGTAGATACAGTCATAGCAGAGGCCTTTCGTCCAGCCTGTCAATACAACAAATTAGTCAATCTTGACTCACTTTACTTTCCAAAACCCTGAGGAACAGCCAGAATATTCTAGAGCTGCAATAGCTAAAAATAGCAGAATATCTGGTATGGGCGCCTTCAATGGCCAGGAATGATCAACATCATTCTCTTGTGTTTATCCCCCATAAATTCAGATGCAGCTCTAGACAATGCTCTATAACTGCAAGGATAAAAACACATCAGCTGATCTTATCCACTAGGATTCATAATTTGATATTTTGACATGATAATGGTCAAAATCCTTTGGGGGTAACCTGCCAAATATATAACCTGTTGGTTATGTAAAATTTTAAGGAGGATATTTTCATATACATTAGTGTGTGCATAGCCAGCCACTACTAATGTAAAAGACTATAAAACATTCAAAACTTGGATTTTAAAGAAAAACATACTTCTTTTCTCCAAAATGGCTGGCAGGTGACATAGGGTCTCTTCAGGATACTGTCAAGTTTCATTTGGTCCTGTTTTGTCAATGGAATTAAAGTCTCTTTAGATATATTTAACCTGGAAAAAAATAGATGAAAAGCATCAGTAAAAGCTAGTGTTCCTTTAATGTGGAAATCACATTATTTCATTTGTATTTACTGTGCTATTTCAGGAATCTCAACATATAAGAAAATCAGTACAGATTCACTTTTTGAGTCCATGATTTTTGGGGATCTTGCATGGCCGAGACCAGCAAAATTTCAAGTTCATTCTGGAAGTTAGTTCTCAGCTGTGTTCCTTCATGTCACACTCAGGGAGGAAGACAGGCAGATGGACATTTGTTAAAAGGTGAGTGGTTACAGTGCCACATCACATAAATGGACACCAGTGGCTCAGTGATGGGGCCATGATGCCTCCAGGCCCCACTCCTACTCTTGAAGCTGTGAGCTCCATGTATGTGGGGTTTTAGTCTCCAGAGAACTTAATTATTTCTAATTCATTGAGAGCTTTCTAGGTCTTGGAAGACAGTCTATCACTTTTCACTTACTCATGCATGTGTACACACACACACACACACACGTATACAAGCATCTATCTAGTTTCAAATTTTAAAAAGTAGAATGCAATCTTGTTATGTGTTTTAAAAACAGAACATGATGGGCCTAGGATTTCTGGCATGGACACATTTGGAAGTCACAAATCCTGGATTTCCCAGGAGAGCTCCAGTTTCAAATAGTCTTTCTTTTAATGTCCCCATAATTATGATCATTTGCCAGTGGCAGCTCCTGGATAGGGTGATGGTTTGATGACATGGAGGAGAGACAATTTCCCTAGAAGTCACATCTGTGTGGTTGCCATACTGATTTTCTTCTTATACTATATTTGGAATGAGCAGATCATTTATCTTGAATTTGTGTTAGACATGATCTTCGGACAGATTACTCCTAAAGGATTTTAACATGACACAAACATTAAATTGATCAAAACTTTGATTCACTCAAAACTTGAATGTTTTCTTTAGTGCCCTTACTTTGTAAGAAATGACAATCACTCAAAACTGTTCACATTCTGTATTCTGGAAACAAGCCCCTTTCACGACTGCTTAGAGTAATCCAATACACACATTTTGAGTTCATTCTCACAGGCCAATTAAAACAACCGAAGATACTTTAAAACCTCTACCGGCAGAGACGAGCAGCAGGGCAGCCACTCCGAGGGGCAGGGGTTACTTGCTCTCTAGGGAAAGCAAGAGGCAGCTGGTGCCTTGAAAACGCGCACGCCCTCTGACCAAGATTCCGGAGATCCAGCCCTGCCCTGGGCCAGCAAAGCTGTCAGGACCACTCCAGTGTCCCACGACAGGGGTTGGCTGAGTAAACATGGTACACCCAGTCCTGGAACTCAGAAATATGAGACCTGAAAATGAGGCCGTAGAAGAGAGATGTATTTATTGATGTAGAGAAGTGACTCCACTGTGGTGTGAGAACAGCAGGCCGTAAAGTGATATTAGGGTAAGAGCCTGCTTTTGTGAGAAAGTTATGGTTATGCACAGAACAAATCTAAAGGTAAACTGTTCATCTGAGGTGAAATTTACCTTGCTATTTAATGATTTTTTTCTATAATGAACTATGTATCACACTTGCCAAAATTTAGGTTCCCAAACTTGAAGTAACCTTAAAATTGGATTTTTAAGTGAAATTAAAATTTTAAATCTATAAAACAGATTCATATGACAAATGATTTTGTCAATGATTATCATTAGATTCAGCGTCTCATACTTTCTAAGTTTAAAAAAATTACAAAATATTTTAACCATAAAAGCAGTCTTCCAGGTAGCTCAAAGCCCATCAACCAAGTTCATTTAAGTATTTCAGTCGTTACAACAGACACTGATGAACTATTCAAAACTACACAGCCCTGCATCACAGCGAACAAGAGAGACGAGAGGCTGAACGCCCGGCCCAGGCCTTCGAGGCGCACTGCCACACGGCCCGCACGCCGCCACGTGAACACCCTGTCCCGCCGAGGGCTGACCTTTTAATGTCAGAAGGGAGGAGGCCGAGCCATCTAACAGCTGGAACTGTGAGGTGATGGGCTTCAAAGGACATAGACTAAAAGAAAGAGCAAAAGCATATTGGTAAGGCTAAAATGTAGAGGGTGCCCCTTGTTTTTCCTTCTCAGGAAGGGCCAATACTAAACTGCCCACAGGAGTGAGAAAAAGACCTGCAGCTTCGCTAAGCTGGGCTGTCAGTGAGGGGTTTGAAACCGTCCTGTCACGTGGGTGTAATCATTTTTTATGAAGTAAAACTACCAAGGAACCTCTCTGCTCTGCACTCACTGTGAGAGCCCATGGTCTAGCCCCGGCTCCACTGTCCTTTCCATCTGCTTTAGGGCGCATTCAGCACCACACCGAACTTCCCCCTGTCCTGGCAGGGCCTGAGCTCTTCGTTCCCAGCAGGCTCCCAGGGGGTGCCGAGACTGCTGGTCCCTGGTCCCACACTTTTGAGAACCACTGACGAATGGCACTTGCAGACTGACTACAAGGGTGAAATTTGATTGTCTTTCCACTTCTCCTCATGGCGGGAGAAAAGGGAGTTAGGCACGCCAGAAGTCAAGGCTTATCTGTAATTTTCAGAGTATACTGGCCAATAAGATCGAGTGGTTACCCTGAGGTCCCATGGTTACGGGTCCGAGGGGAACAATAATGCCTCTTGCCCACAGCCAGGCCCACTCTGTTACCGTGGTCACACTGGTCACACCGGAAGCTGGAGTCACTGCCACAGAGCAGGCCCTCGGCTAGGACAGCAGCTGCCCTGGTACATGCTGGGCGCCCTCAGCCTCCTAGGGGCTCATAAGTAAATGAAGAGATCTCCCCGAAGAATATAAACCCTCTTGACTGGAAAAGGAAAAATACTTTCTCCCACTTACCATAGATCCATACTTATAGATGCACATGATTTCTATGCCTGTGAAAAGAAAGGTACCTTTAAAACGTCTTGCAATCTGTACTCTCAAATTATATCTAACACCTGTAGTTTTTTATTTTTGTGGACATTACCAACGAGAAACATAAAGTTCTGCTTAATATAGCAAAAATAGCCACAAGTCGCCTCACATGATTACTCACTAACCTTAATCTAATTGTATTATTTTAAAATCTTTTATGGACATGTTCTAAGAGCAGAAAAACACAACTACAATTTGGCTTAAGTTTTTGCTTCAGAGTTCCAGCAATAAATTACCATGTGGATCAGCATCCACGAGCGTGAAAACAGGAATGTGAAATGTGTCCCACAGCTTCTTGACTAGAAGCCTGGTGTTCAGATCAGGGACTCCTTTTCCCTGAAAGCAAACTGAAATTACTCACTTTAATTCCAATGGAATGATAAAACTATAATCTTATTTCATTAGTAATTTAAATGTGAGATTCCCTCATCTTAAATTTTACTGGTGAAACTGCTGTAGCCTGTGTGAAGTGTACGACGCATACAGCAGGGTGGAAAGGGCCATCAGTATTCAAATCTTTCACGCAAACGTCTCAGCCCTTGGAAATAAAGCTGAGGAAGTCTGTCAGCAGAAACAGATAATAACGACCCTGCATAAAGACGCTCACTGTTGTTCCACTGCTAACAGTTATCACAAGACAACGACAGAGGGGTGCACCGCCCAAGTCTCCAAGACTAGGCACGGGAGGCAGCAGAGCACGGAGAGGTCCAGCTTCTGGTCAGGCAGCCCTGGAGATGCGGCTTTGTCACCTCTTAGCGGCAGGACCTGAGCTGCCTGCCCCGGAAGCGAAACCACCGTGCTGTTGGGGCTCTGCGTGGCACCTCCTAAAGCTCTTCTGGGGATTGAGTAATTTAATCACCCTAAGGCACTTAGAAGAGTACCAGACTTAAATGTAGGATTTAACAAGCCCCACGTGGTGAAATAACACATGAAGTTATTAAAACAAAAGAAAAAGCAGTGTGCAGAGCGTTATAACATGAGCGAACAAGCAGCATGCCACGCGGAGGAGCGAGGGAAGCAAGGAGAGGTTGAGAATGGTGTTCCCCTGAGTCTGAATTCCCTGACAACCATTAGCGGGTCACACTGGGCCAGTGTCCTGGTCTTGGGAGCCTGGGTCTTCTCTTAGGAAATCAGGCTCAGCATGCCTGCCGCAGCGCTGGGGAGGACAGAAACGTGGAGCTGAACTATCTGAGTCCAAGTTCTGGTGTGGACCGGCATAGGAGTGTGGGAAAATACCTTCCTGCATCCCCGTCGCCTCTTATTAAAGTGGGGCGATGACAGCACCTGCCTCATAAGGTTGTCGAGAGACTCTCCAAGCTGACACAGCACCAGATGCAAACGCTCAACGTGTGGGGTGGCAGGGCCCTGGTCACAGGAGCACACGGGAGGGGTGAGCACTTTTATTCTCTCCTTGGGGACAGACATCACACGTGTGTGGTAAGCAGTCAAACAGCATCAGTGGACATCCGGGCACAAAGGGCCCCTCCCCAGCCTGACTCTCGTCCCCAGCTCCCCACTCAGAGGCAGGCACTGGGGTTGGCACCCAGGGGTCCCCAATGTCAGGGGACACTGCGACAGCACCGTGTGTGGACAGGTGAGGCTTAGCAGGCAGCATCAAGGAGAAAACCAAGGTAGAGAGATAGAATTATGTGTGACTTTTCCCTCTCGAAATGCACAGTCCATAACCAGTGCCACATGGTCTCTTCAACCTAAACGTCTCCAAAGCGCCAGAACCAGTGGGACGCAAACACCATGGGCTGAGCAGAGTCCCTGCCCTGGCTTCTGGCCAGCCCAGAGGGCATGCGCTCTCCTCCGAGGGGCAGGGCGTGAACAGGGAAGAGGACTGCAGCAGTGAGTGGGGGGACAGCCCACAGGGGCACCAAGCGGGGCTCAAACATGGCCTCCACAAGGTTGCAGGCCGCATGTTCATCTCAACCGTCACTCCAGCTCTTCAAACCGGGCAGGCGCCACCAGGGTGTCCTGCTCCCACTTCAGGTTCCGGTTTCTAAGCCCACTCTCAAAATCTTTCCTCCACAGCAGAAACAGAACAAAGGAAGACACAAACTAAGCCAAAGAACCCCTAGGAATCTGGCAGTGGAGCTGAGGCCACCAGAGGGGAAGCGTGTGGTGGCAAGCAAAGGGGCCGAGTGGACTAAGGCGGAGGACTATGGGGGCTTTGGAGGTGAGTCTGAAAAGGGATGAAACTGTATCCCTAAACCACAGTGTTGACTTCACTAAAAATAATACAAATTTAAAATCTTCCCTCTATGATGAAGGGAGCCTTCGGCCACTGTCCTGCAGCCGTTACAGTTACTCACGTTACTCCAGCACGGTTGGCTGGGGCTCCGGGCACCTGAGCCATGTGCCTCACTTCTCGCAGCTGGAGGTCACCAAACCGGTCCTTTCCTCTGAAGCGTTGCTCCTGACTGCGCCTCCCCCCACCCACCCGACCCGCCCGACCGCCCCGACAACCTGTTCCAGGCCCATCTGCTCCCTCGCCACATCATCCGCAGGCTAGCGGGCCGGCTGCCCAGCTAGGCCTGGCCTTCCCTTTCTCACCAGTTCAGGAACTCTCGGTAGTGCCCGAGCTTTCTGAACTAAATCAGGACATCTCTTTGGGACGGGCCAGGCCTTCTGTGATGCCTGGCAGCCTCTCTCCAGGGCAGCTCTGCTTCTCCAGGGCCCTCTCCTCACCACTTCCGCAAGCCTAGCCACAGACATTGCTTTTACTGCTAATCTAGTAACTCAGAAGGATCTTAAGTAGATGAGCTTTTCTTATATGGCTCTATAAAAGTAGAAGGCCAGACAGCGGCCATCACTAAATGATGGTGGTCTTGGAACTGTGGTAAAGGTAGGAAATGTACCGTAACCATGATGCAAGGAGACATTTTGTTGCAAAAGTTGTCATCTAGCAGGCGCTGAAATGTGGCATCTTTTTCTACAATTAATAGAAATTTTGCATCTGTAATTAAATCTGTGAAGTTAAGGCTGATAAACTAAAGGCAAGAATATTTCATTTTAACCACAAACTGAATACTGGTGCCACTTAGGTCAATCCAAAATCATGTATTTTTATCTTTAACTTCAAATATAAAAAGATGCCTACTCAGGGCCTCCCTGGTGGCCTAGGGGTTAAGTCTCAGCGCTATCGCCACTACAGCCTGAGTCTGATACACAGCAGACAGCAGACCTTTCCTATTGTGCCTGCTGCTCCCCGCAGCAGTGTATTTCACTAGATATGCCTGTTCTGCTCCCCATTCTGTCTCTGATGAATCATCTCACCTCCTGTACTTCTAGCCTACACCCCAGTTCTTCTATGCCAAAAAAAAAAAAAAAAAAGATGCCTACTCATATATTTAGACATCTGTCTTTCCTACTGGAGGGTGAGGCCCCACAAGAATCCTGAAGAAGGGGCCGTGGTGTGTTCATCTTGACCACTACAGGGTCTGACTTGTTTGTTACACATTATGAAGATGTGGCTTACCAAAGCAATGAATGAATGAACATTCTAGAAGTTTAAATTGTTTTACCACTCAAAGGATACTCCGAATTCCTTGAACATTAGAAGGCACAGCAACAGCCTAAGTTAACAAAACAAAACTGCCTTTATTTTAAATGAAAAACAAGTAAAGCCACATTTAAATTTTATCACAAATCTACTTTCATTTTTCTCTGAATATACCAGTCATCAAAATTTATTCCTCACTAACAAAAAGAACAACAAAAATTAGTAAGAAGAGATTTACTCCTTAGTAAGAAAACAGACTCAAGACCCAAGCCACTTCCCAGCAGGTGAGAATTTCTTGGAAACTTTGTGGAAATGGGGTTTCAAAAGCAGAGGGCAGTGAAGGCAAGACCTCTGCTTCCTGACACTCTCCTCCAAAGGGTCTATGGGCCTTTCCAAGCTGCCGCGCTAGTCCGGTCCTGCGAGCTTTCCGTGCACCAACGCCTCGCAGACAGTTCTGTACTGAACATCTTCATTTCAGAACCAGAAACTCTGAATGAAGATTGTATAACTAGCCATGCCAAATGATCAAGGCTCCCTCCACCTGAACACAGCCACACATGCTTACCAGGCGCATGTTGTGCGTGTTTAGCTCACTGCGACACTTGACAATTGGCAAGTTTTGCAACGAGTAATATACGAGCTCCCAAAGCATTCGTCCTTCAATTTTATTTTAAAACTGGAAGCTCTAAACTACAGCAAAGCAGGAAAAAATGCATTTCAAAAACACAGGCCCTGGAAGGGGTGAGGTCGTGTGGGGACATGGCTGCTTACGGTCGCTCCGCAGGGACAGTTCACCTTGGTGCCGTCCTCCTCCAGGTACCGCAGGCTGCCCGCGAGCAAGCCTTTTGATGTCGATAACTGAGAAATAGCAGACAAGTTTGAAAACTTTTTTGTTACTCTATTTTATGCTACGTTGTTCTTCCTGCTCACCTGTCTAAAGTGTGTGTGTGTATGTGTTTAAGCTTGGATTGGGATTTAAGAAATATAAAAGGATGTTTAAGATGACAAATATTTTCCAATTCACATGTTTGGTTAATTCAAGAGACTATATTGAGAACAGAATCTTTAAATACATATGAGAAAAATATAGTATCATAAAGTGTCGAAAGGACCAGAAGGCATTTATGCTGCTTACAATTTTATATATTTTGTTTTAAAATAAAATTTTTGTATCAAATGCTACTTACGATATGCAGACTCCTCCTTGGCACTTTTAACATACAAGAAATGTCATTGATAATATTGTCCACAACGGTTTGGTTACCAAAGAGTTGGCTGTCAGTGTAATATATGTCCCTGTAAAATAAAATATATATATATATATTCCTAATTAACCATACTCTCCTTGCCGATGGCAAGTACTGTGGTTTTATTTGAAGAAAGCTTTAACTAGACAAAACACAATTTACAAAGAAACTAATTTCTTAACCCTAGTCTCTCTTATGGAGCATTTTAAAACCTATAATGAAAGTTAATCTAATTAGACCCCAGGCAGCATTTTTAGGAGCTTTTTACTGGAACAATACATTTACCTTTTGGTTGCATAAGTGTTGCTCTGTGCTAATTTATAAATCATGGACAATATTTTGAGAATTAAAGCTGTAAAATAAGATGCAATGAACAAGTTACTCATCATGTCACATCCTAATTCAAAACATACTTCTATCAAAAATTGACTGTCCCCAGCTACTCGCCATAACATTAGAAAAAAATCTTTCCAAAATAGAAGTGTTAAGTACGAATAACAATTATCTGAAGAATCAGATAAAATTCATTGCATTACAAACAGCAAAAGTGAGACAATACTTTTTCACTGCAATACTTTTTTACTTTGCAAAATTCCATAAATTTATTTCAAATACACAGGTGGTCTATTAAAGAACAAGTAGAATTATTTAAATAGGAATAAGTAAAACCTAGAAAGTAATTTTTTATGACTAAAAGCAAAGAAAAATTAATTTACCAAATTTTTTAATTGATTTTGTTGAATCACTTCTTATTTTTCTCATGGTACAATGAGATACCATCTGAAGGCCCACAGAATCTTCAAATCTGTCATTTGTTCAAAGCAAGGGAATAAAATGAAAAATAATTAATTTCTGTACACTGAGAAATATACACTGAATGCCCCTTGCTGCACATCATTTCAGTCCACATTTCTTCTCCATGTAAGCACTGAAGCTTTAGGACAACCTTGACTATAAGCTTAGATAGCTCCAGGTGGTAATTAGATGCTTAGCATTGTGACATATAGACACTAGAATAAAGCAAAGAAATGAATGAGGGGCCTCCCTGGTGGCGCAAGAGGTTAAGGTGCTTCATAGCACCGCACTATGAAGCAATCCGCAGCCTCTGCAGCACGAGTTTGATCCCTGGCACGTGGGAGCAACCCACATGTGCAGCAGACCTCTCCTGACTCGCCCTGCAGCTCCCCTCGCAGTGTATTTTAGTCAGTCTGCCTGTTCTGTTCCCCACTCTGTCTCTGGTGAATCCTCTCACATAGCCCCCCTTCCCGCCCCCAGCATATCTGGCCTGTACCCCAGCTCTTGCATGCATAAATAAATCTTAAAAAAAAAAAAATGTGTGTCTAAAATATACAATATATATCTGTATTTCTTCCCTGGGAAAGCTTTTGGTGTTTCATATTTTAAAATTATTTCACAATTTTATTAGCATTTTGATCATTTTAGCCATTAAGTTACTTAGCAGTCACTTAACAGTTACTCAATTTTAGAAGCTGTGAAATATTTTCTTTCTGATTTACCTTCAATGTTACATCAGAATTTCTACTGTTGTTAAATTGAACTGCTGAGTTTTCCCTGTAGGTGGCAGCAGGCACCAGGCAGAGATGCCCTGTGTCAACTGATTCTAGATTTGATGAAATGCTATTTTGAAACTGTAATTCAAAAGTTTAGAATAATTATATTATTCATAAAAGAACATAGTGACTAAGATGCCTCAAAAGTACTTTTATTCTGTTTCTGTAACTCTTACTAAAGATTATTCTTGCAGTGTTTTTCATTCTTGGGTGGGAAGATTCTACAGGCTGAGGATATGAAAAAACAAACCCGATATAAGCAGGTTTGGGAACTTTGACAAAATTATTGGCTGGTTTTATCCTTCTTGGTCACTGATTTGGGGAAGGTGGAGATCCTTTGAAATGTGCTTTATGCTCCAGATATATTTATTTTGGTCTCCGTATGAGGATGGTTTGTGGCTCCCTCAGCAAGTGGTTCCCTTCAAGGCGTATAGATGAGAATTCCACTGGTTATATTTCCCCCTGTTGGCCAAGCTCAGAGCCCTTTTTGAACAGGGCTACAAGACCTGATCACCTTGACCTCTAACTTCTTTTGGTGCTCTGTTTTTTGTCCCTAGCAGGTTTTTTTTTTTTTTTTTTTTGCCTTACCTTTCATACTTACTTCAAGTTTATATCACCTGACTGTATGGTATGTATTTTGTAAACTTCCTTAATCCTTTTGCCAAGGTAAAGGCAATAAAAAGAATGAAATCCAACTAGAATGCTCACTTGAATACATTCACATAATGACAAAGATAGACATTGAAAATAAAAATGCAAAATGCCCACTTTATATTTTCCCAGCTTGATCTGTTGTCTACTGTGAATGCAGGTGCTTTATTTCTCGCCAAGCTTGCGATTACTTCTTGGATGATGTGTTCTATAGATGCAAGAACTTCAGAACTGAAACAAAACACCATGATTCAATCTTACTCATAAAGCAGGCTTTTACAATAATGCAACATTCCCCCAGCTCAATACTAAAGTAACTTTCTCTTTCATTGTTAGTTCTTTAAGACTAAGTACTCTATGTCAATAATCATCTCCAGTAAATTGACATTAGTACTGCATTAAAACAACAACTGTTCTTTACAAAATGTACTTACCTAGTGATTTCATTTGCTTGTCATTTTAATTCTCAATGACAACTGAAGTATCTCCCTTTTAATGTAATTTAGAAATGCATTTGTATCCACTCTTCACATAAACCTACTTTAAATACAAACTTGTTGACTTGAAATAACTGTTTTAATTTAAAATGATGTAATATTTGGGCTTTGAATTTAATCTCTTTCCCAAAAATGTGATGCAAAAATATTTTAAAAGAAACAGTTCTTGTTGTAGAGTATTACCCTAGCTGATCTCAGCCCCTCTAAATTTTAGTGATACAAGAAGAAAACTTTAATCAGTACCATGAAAAGAGCTGGCAGCGATCACAACACTGTACAGCAAAATATTAAGAATTAGCCAGTTTTCTGTCAGCCGACTTTTAATATCACAAGCCATCAGCTTCAAAAAATGTCATCCTGTTTTAAGTACCACGAGCCTATCGCCTTGGAAGGGGCTCAAATAAAAGCTAGAAATTGGGCAACATGCAGAGTTTCTAATTTCCACAGAAATTCAGAGCTGTCACAGAAAACACAGGTGCCAGACAGTGCATTTTAAAACTTTCAATGTCTTCGAAGATCAAGAGGTTAAAAAAAAAAAAGGAAAAAAGACACAAATAGCTCATTTTTCCAGCTTGGATGGCAGGGGGGAGCAAAAGACAACATGGCACCCAACTTTCAGATACGATCAGATAAATTTACATCTGAAACGTAAACAGCTTCCACTCCTTCCTGTCCCTCACCCGCCTGAATTCTGCCTCCAACTAAATCCTTTCATACAAATCTATTTGCTTGTGGGTTTTTCTCTTGGTTGTTTTGTTTTGGGCTTTTTTCTGGTAGTTGGCTTGGGTTTAAGAAAAAAGACGGTAATTTGTTTAGGCTGAAAAGCTTTGCTGATAAATCAGAAAAGCAGAGCAGGGAGCACGACTGGGGGTTCACGACGTCATGCGTCTTCGGGGGACTGGGGGGACTGGGGGGACTGGGGGGCTGGGGGGCGGCTGGGGGGGCCTGGGGGCGGCTCGGCCGCGTGTGCCACGGTCGGGGCCACTTGATCCAGTGGCCGGGCCACGCGCGTCCCTGACTGAACGTGGCTCTGAGAACAGGCGCCCTCGGGCCAGAGACCTTGCGTCGCTCCGCGCCCCGCTCTGGGGAGACACTGCGGGGTCGAGCTCGCGACGCCCGTCCGCCCCCCAGCCCTTCAGTCAGCACCCCCTCACCCGCAGTCTGGACACGCACAAACCCAGCCCGCGCCCCGCGCGCCGCCCCGCCGGGAGCTCAAGCACCCTGTGGGCCGGCCGCGGGGCGCCCTGGAACATTCCAGAAGACACAGGCAGGCAGGAGGGCGGGCGCGCCAGGCGGGGCTAGGAGGGGCCTTTTCCCGCGCTCACCCGGCCGGCCCGCCAAGGGGGCCCCTCTGTGGCCCCCACCCGGTGCTGGGACGGGGCACCCCATCTCCCCCAGGCGCCTCAGGCGCGCGCGCCCCGGCCTGTCCCTCGCGCCAGCTCGAGGCCCACGTACCCGGTGGCCTGGCGGGTGCCCCCGCCCGCCGGCTCCCCTCCGTCCCGCCTCAGGGCGGCCAGCAGCGAAGCCCGGTGCCGGTCCAGAACCTCGAAGAACGAGGCCTCAGGCCCCGCGGGCGCAAAGGCCATGAGCAGCGGCCCTCGGAGCCCCACACCGCCTGCCCGCGCTTCCCGCGCAATTGTCGGGGACGCCCCCTGCCGCCGCGCCCGCGCATGCGCACACCCCACCGGGAGGCCGGGGCGCATGCGCACCTCACAGATGCATGCGCACCGCACCTTCATTGGGTGCAGTGCGCAGGCGCAGGGCTCTCAGGTGCTGCCCCACCTGGGTATCAGTGGTGGGCCTTTCCTTGCTTGGGATGCTGTGCTCAGACTTTCTTGAAATGGTTTTGTCTGTCTCTCGTCTGTCTGTCTGTCTTTCTGTCTACCTACTTACCTGTCTGTCATACTGAGATCCTAACCAATCTGCAATATTGTTCATTTTCATTAACACAAATAGGTGTGGTCCTCCAGCTGTCTTCTAGGCACTGGACACAGCAGCGATCAAGGCAGAAGAAATTCCTGTCCTTGCTACTGCTGATGTATCAGTTTGCTACAGCTGCTTGCTACTGCTTAGATCAGCTTGAGAGTTTACAGAGCCCATTTCACTCAGTCTCTGGCTTTTAATTTTCATAAGCAACCCAGGAGGTCCTTAATGTGATCACGGTGATTTTGTGAGAGAGGACAGGGCGGCCCACAAGCCCAGGGATTCTGGGGGTTAACATGCCGAAAGGGGTGCGTCATGATTTTGGGAGGGCTGCTTTGGTGATGGGACGACCCCTCTGACCTCCGTTTGCTCATCTTTTGGGTGAGGGTGTGGCAGCAGGTGGCTGTCATTTATCATCCTCAAGGAGGAACAAGCAAATAAAAGACTTCTGAAGGCACTGAGCAAGTCAGTGACTTCAGTGAGACTAGTCTGCCAGGAGATGCCTCACTCCTGACTGCAACCCTCTGCCCTCCTGCCTCTGGTTCTCATGAGCCTGGGAGCTTCCGTACCACATAGGCACGCTCAGCCAGGAGCCGTGGCCTCACTCCATCTGACATGAAATGAAGAGTCCTGAGGTGGGTGGGGGCATTGGGAAGGGATCAAAACAGTGACGGGAGCAAGGCCATCATAAACCTGGCATTCCTGTGGGGAGAAGCCGCAAAGCACAGACTTGAAAGGGCCTGGCTAGGGCTCCCAGTGGGGCAGGCCACACCCTCCTGCCAGGCAGCTGCTCTGCGGTGCCCTCCCGGTACCAGCCTCCCCACAGGTCACTTCATGCACACGGAGGGCACCACCTCCACATCAAAGTCACCCGGCCCAGCCCCAGGCCACGAGAGGAAACCAGAAAAACACACTCGTCCCTAGCAACAGATTGCAGGTGGACAGGCAAATCGCAGGGCTTTCTTCCTGCAGGCCAGGGACAGAGTGGGCCCAAAAGCTGTTTGGATGCTGCGCCCAGTTGGGAAAATGAAAAGCTTTTCCCCAAGCCCCATGGGCGAGTCTATCCTCTAATCCCCACCTCATATCAGAAGCTGTATGGGACCCAGGGCCTCCGTTCATGTTGGGAAGAGCATGGTCACTCGGGCGGGTGAGAGAGCTGAGAGGAAGCCTAAACTCCAGGTTGGAGTAAATTAGCCGCCATGACTGTTTCTACATCTAACTGTGTACATGCGTGCACGGGCGCATGAAAAGGGAACGGCGGCAGGGAAGGATGGGCACCCATCCAGCAAGCCAGAGAGGAGAGGTGGTCACGCTTGGTGCATTTAAACCATACAGTTTCTTCAGCAATACAAGCAAGTTGCAACACATTGTAGATTCAGGGAAAAAGAGTAAAGAGAGTGTTAGAGTCATTTCATTATTTCTTGATGTTTTATAAGGTGTTTTTCTTATGTACTGTTGTCTTTTTAGCTTTGCTGATGCATGCTTCTCAGAAAATATTCAGAAGGTATGATGTCAAAGTGAGAGAAACTCCCCTCCCCACTGGCCCACCTCCAATTGTTTGGCTGCTTTTGCTCCAGACTCTGGATCCTTCCCACCTGGAATTCTTCCTTCTTGCCCCAAGGGATTTGTGCTTGCCCTTCCCGTAGCAGCTGGGAATGCTTTGTCCATTTTCTCTCCCTCCTCTCTGCTCTACCTCACCCAAATCCAGCTGGCTCATCTTCCTGTATCCTCAGATCTCTGGACATTTCTCTGAACTGCCCCTAAGGTCTTGGCCCCTGCACTCGCCCTGCCCCAAAAAGCCCATATTTCTCCTAAGCCACAGGAGAGCAGGGGCTGTGTTCCCTAGTTCCACTGTGCCTCACTCAATAGTGTTTGTTGAATGAATGAGTGAATGAATGACTCTTCATGGGATCACCTCTGTTACCTATTTGTAATATTTCCATCCTATGCATCTTTCCAGACATGCTTGAAGAAGCCTACTTTTTTGTGTGTGAATAAAACCCTACTCTATATTCTTCTGGCTTTGTCACTCCTGGTCATAGCAGTAACTGTAGTTTGCTGAGGAAAGGACATCAGGCCAAGTGATTCACACCCTGAATCTCATTTACCTCCCATTTACTAGGGAGAAAATGGAGGCTCTGTGAATTATACATACAATGACTGGGTTTCATTGAGATGCAAATGGCAAAGTGCTGACTGGAACAGTTTCTCTACTGTCAGTCACTTAAGATATTGCCTCAAAGTCAAGGTCATTTAGAGTTGGTGACTTGACTTGCTCATTTTTCACAGCCAGTGATTATAAAGCTGGATATATGATGTGAAGCAGATCCATAAAAGAAAGTTAAATTGAATTTTTATAAGATTACCAAAATACTTGTAAACCTGTGCATCATTTCACTATGCGTTTTTAGAGCAAGATGTACTACCCAACAGCAGCCTCTACACCTGACAACCCATGACCAACTTCACTTATGCCCACCTCCTTTTCAACCCTCCCTCTAGATTGTTTTAAAGCAAATTCCAGCTGTCAGATCATTTCATCCATAAGTATGTGAACATGTATCTCTGAAAAATCAGAACACTTTAAAAGTAACCTAGGTCTCTGTCTGGGTAGCATCATACCAATACTGTGGACATAAGCCACATGCAGCCCATCAAGCTGGCTAGGGTCACCAAGGTGCTGGGCAGGACCGGCTCACAGGGAGAGCACACACAGGAGTGTGTGTGTGGAATTCATGGATGACACCAGTGTCTCCATATACTCACCCTGTTGGAGTCAGCATGAGAGAATAGGACACTTCTCTGAACTTGGTTCTGGTCCTAGGTGAAGTCTGGGTGGACCACATGGCCCCAGATGAGAGACCTGTTGCTGTTAATAAACCTCTTATATGAAAAAAAAAGTTAATAAAACTAGCCTTAATCCTACTACTATACCAAAATTTATTGTTCACAATCATAATGTTGCCCATTTCCATCACTGTAAAAATTTCCCTAATTATTTTATAAATTGTTTTTATAGTTCTCAGCAAGGTGCGAAAAAAGTCCATCCGTGTAACACTGTTGGTTGTCCATCTTTTGACTCTCCTTAATTCTCTAGACTCTCATTCTTTTCCTTGCAATGCGTTTATTGAAGGCACATTGTCTTTTGTCCCAGAGGCTTCTGTATAACTAAGTTTGTGGATTTCATCTCTGTGGTGTTACTTAACAGGTTTTCCTGTCCTTGGAATTTCCTGTAAATTGGTGGTTAGATTTGGGCACCTGATTCTTTCTGGCTTGATTTTTTAAAAATAAATATATTTCACAGGTGGTTTGAAATATTTAGGATCTGTTATAACCTTCCAGGGCTTCTAAGACTGGGGTCGCCATGTTGAGAAGTTCGGAACTTGCATGAACCTCTCATAAACGGAAGTCTCTCATCAATAAGCCTCTTACATTAGATGGAAAAAAAAAATGTTAATAAATAAATAATAAAAGCAGTCCAGCCCAGGAGCCTTGGGGGATTCAGCCACACTCAGCAAAGTCCCTGCAGAATTCATAACCCCTTCGCAGCAGATCAACCCGGAGGAGATCCTGGGGGAGCTTCAGAAGCACCCCAACTCTGCACTGGGCACCCCAAACACTTGCAGGAGTAGGCCCTTAACCTGGTTCCCTCCCTGCTTGCTAGCACAGGGTGTTTTTTCTGCTACAACCCAGCCTGACTCATCCTCTCTGTTTTTTATTTCTTTCTTCCTCACACCCCAACTGGGCTGCTAATTGCTTTCCCCCTCACACCCCCTCTTTGGAATTGCTGAAGCTGTGACCTAGAGATACCCCAACACCACTGGTTTCAAGTCCTGCTCCAACCGGGAGCCTCTGCTTTATTTGAAAAACTCAGTCAACACTGAACAGACTTGCTTTGATTGAAGGAGACTTTAAAACTTTTAAAGTCATTCTTGTCCTCCCCCCTCTGCTGCTTCTTTTTCTTCTTTTACTGTTTGTTTTCCATTTTAGAGGTTTCTTGGCAACTGGTTTTGATAGAAAGAGACATTTTACAAAAGACCAGAAGGCATGTCGGGTGCTCAAAGCCGAGGTGATAAAACTGCTGAGGTATTTCCCTGCTAGTCGGTCCCTCCTGAGCACAGTGACAGCCACAAGGCCTTCTCCACCTGGAGCGACAGGCTCCGGCGCTTGGTGACAGCTGCCTTCACGGTGCCCAGAGCTCACCAAGTGCCCGCACACACATTGCTGGAATTTCACTGGGAAAGACAGATTATAAAGAGAAATCCAAATACATGACAAATTCAATAATGATGTGTTACCAGGAAAACAAATCCAGATGTTGGAGAGGGAGGGCCCGGGAGGAAACAGCAAGGAAGGTGGGCAGACAGCACCTGGCCTGTGAGGACTGAGGACAAACAGGAGCCAGTGCAGAGGGGAGAAGCTCTGGGGAGGTGGAGAGATGGAGGGTGTGGCCAAAGGGGGGGGGGTCGGGGGGTGGGGGATTGGACTTTAGTCAATGGCAGAGATTCCAGCCAGGGCGATCGGGGTCTTAGTGGGCCAGTGGGGATGTTGGGAGACATTTTTGGCCATTGCGCTTGGGTTGCTGCTGATGCCTGGGGGGTGGAGACCCGATACCTTGCTGCACAGACAGGACCCCTCAGCAGACAATGAGACAACCCAATAATCAACAAGGCCCAGGAGGCAAGAGCCTGGTCTAAAG